TGCACATTGGTAATGTCTGTCTCCTAGTTAGGGTTTAGGTTTAGGGTTTCATGGTTGGGATAGGATTAAAGGTTTAAGTACCCCATAGAAATATAAAATGTTACCCAGCTATGACAAAGTCTCAAGCTTGGCTGCCACTCCTGCCGGCTCATGCTCATCATACCAGCTGACATCCAAGGACAGAAGGACTCCCACGAAGCTGAGATGCCAACGCTTGGACTGCTTAGCAGCTGCCCAGGCGAGGCAACTTTGCCAGAGGAGGCCAAAGAGAAACTGGATGAGCGCAATCGCCCCGATTTTGATGAGGATTGGAGGCCTAGGTGGGGCTTTAAAGCCTTTGAAAAATATTAGTAAATAGGATCCTCTTATTCCCAATAAGGGGAAAATATAAAATGTCCCAAAGCCCTACCTAGAGGCATCCTGATCATCACGTTGGCAGGATTCTGGGCTTGCAGAGCGTCAACAGCCTCGGCTATGAACCAGGCAATCGCAGGGGTCGAAGCTCCCTGGGCCAAAGCAAAGACAAGGCCAAAGATCAACACGACCTTCTCGCAGTACTTCAAGTGTGTGGTCACGACTGCGATGTCGTCCTCCGAGGGCTGCCGCTCTTGCTTGCAGAGCTGTCCTTTCTCGACGTCCTGCAGGTCGCGAACGGGATGCTGTCCCAGGAGGACAGGCAGGGCATCGTTCTCAGACATGGCCGAAAAGATCAGGAACAAGGGAAAAGGGGTATTCTCGAATAAGACTATCTGAAAAGAAGGGGCTGCAGGCATGCATGTGAGGCGTGACATGTCTGCATCTGTCATGTACGGGCCAACTGGCTTACTGTCAGCAGTGGGGATCTTGGAAGTTGCGCTGCAGCTGAGTGACAGAGTCCCGAACGAACTGCCTTGGATGTTCGGCTTACTTTACAGGTTCACGAAAAATTGCTGCGCACGGTTGAGGCTCACTGGGACCTTCTGGCTGTTGCGATCGAAACTGTCGGCTCCAAGCTGCCAGAAGGGGGGCCTTATCAAGGGAAGCCTAGGTTCCTGAGTAGCCCCATCATCATAACATAAGGGTACCCTTTTTCCTACTATTCGATTCGGCGAAAGGGTACTACTCACGAACCTAAACCCTAAACCGGCTCTAAGGCTCTGCCAAGAGGCTGCGCCAGCAGGGGGATCTTCCAGCGCTCGTGGACTGCCTCCGCACTTGGAGGATCGTGGGACTTAGTGATAAGGCTAGAAGTACCTTAATTGGGGTTATAACATGATAAGTATATAGTTACCGTATGTATAACCTTACCTTTTTAGCACTCGCACTCGAGCAAGTCAGGCGAGGCACGTTAGCCTAAGCTTACTTACTAAGTCCCTGATTCTCCAAGCGGGACTGCACATCTCCAGCTTGGAATGCCGCGGGAACGCGCGTTAGAGCCTTTGCTTCTCGATGGGTGCGGCGCATATGGGGGTTTCCGAATGAGGAGACCCTAATATGGTATTGTTTTGGGTACCCCCCGTTTTTCGGAAACTCCCATAAACCCTATAGAGCCCTCTAAAGGAACCCTTATAGTACCCTTATAGTAACCCTTGAAAGCAACCCTAAGCTACCCCTGACTCCCATATGCCTTTTTCTCTTCCTGGTCACTTGACGAACCCTTTTTGCAGCAGGCCTCGTTGTCCAGCAGCCCGTGGGGGAAAGGGGGTTCATGCTGTAGCTTGACGAACCCTAGACCCTAAACCCTTTATAGAACCCTTGTATAGATCCCTTTAAGGAGCCCTAAAGGGTCCCTTGAAAGCTACCCCCCCCCATTTTTCTCAAACTCTCCCATAGGAAAAGCCGCAGGCCTCCCGGAGTTCCTGCAGCGGAGCCGTGGCGGGGAAGGTCAAATGCAACCTCGGAGGGGCTTCTGGGGGGGGCTCATAGGGTTTTTTTTTGCCACCCGCCCAGCTGAAACAAGTCGCACCGCAGGGAACTCGTCCGAACTTACTGTGACCGCAAGGAGGGTTTTTTAGAGGTTTAGAGGGCCGTTTGTAAGTTTTTTATAGGGGTTCAGAGGTCCGCTGGGGCCGTCTATAGGGGCTTTTAGAGGTTTATGGGGCCGTCTAGAGGGGTTTATAGGTGTTTATAGGGGTTTACGTTTATAGAGTTTCGACTCACAGACTCGCACAAAGCAGGCATGGCTTCGGTTCGGCTTTCGGTTCCTGCGGTTCTTGCGGCTTAGGAGTCGTGAAGGTTTCCGAAGGACCTGAGGTGTGCAGCTCTGCGTCACAACCCAGTGAGCAGATTAACGACGAACATATTCTGAACATACGCTAAAACTCCTAAACCTTGACTTATGAATGTCAGACCCGCGGCGCACATCCCCCGTGTACCATATAGGGAACGCATGCATGACTTTGAACGCAGGCGGCTCCTGGCCAGCAAGGCCCCGAAGCACCAGGTTCACCTGCCGGGCGCCATGTGCCAAGTTGACCCAAACACACACCGAGCAGTACTTTATGTGTGTATATATATATATACACAATCTAGAGAGAAAGATATATATATATATATATGCACATACGTATGTGTATATATATATATATATATAAGAAGGACGGAACACCTCTTTTTATGGCTGGTGCATATGCAGCGCTAGCGCGAGCGGGCGTGCTTCTTTGAAGGAATGGGAGGGGATGACAGCAGACCCCTCACTTAGTTTAGGATATTCTAGGCTCTGTAGAGTTTAGGGCCTTTCAATCGGCAATCAGCTACGCCTTCTCTCGAAGCTCAAACTCTGAACTCTCTCCGGGCCTCACCACTGAGGCGCGTAAAGGCCCAGGAGCCCTCGCAAGTCACCGTTTAGGGTTTCTAGACCTAAGAGTAACCTAGGAATAAAACGGGTGCCCTTTTTGGTTTAAAGGGGCTTATAAGGGATCCTGAAGCCTAAAAAAGGGAAGAAGGCCCTACTCTAGCTCCCAGGTTTAGTGTGTTTTCTGAACGCCTTCTTCCGCCCCGTGCGGTTAAGGTCGGGGAAACCCACAGTTGCGGGAGCTCCGGGGCTTCTGCACCGCTTCATACTTCACCCAGTATACAAAAGTAAATAAGTTTTGGGTTTTTGTTTTTTTTTTTTAAGGCTCCTTTTTGGGTCCCTTTTTGGGGGTTTAGGGTTTAAGGTCTTGGTTTAAGGTTTAGGGTTTCGGGGGTTAGGTTTTAGAGGCGGTCTCAGCAATGACGTTGCCAGCCCTTGGCCATGGATTGCAGGACAAGAAGTGACAGATGCGTCAAGGAACGGGAGTTGTTACCCTGGGGTCCTTGTAATAAGGATCCTACTATTTGGGGTGCTATATTAGGGTCCCCTATTTTCGGAAACCCCCATATAGGACTATCTTACCTTTGGTTAGTAGGGAATAGAGGAATGGGGTACAATTATAACTACTATTTCTTATTACTACCATTCTTCCATTCCCTACTAACCCAAAGTAAGTCACTCCGAACTGCCTGTGCCGAATGGAGGCTTTTTCCGTCGAGGCCCAAGCGTACGCGGCGAAAGCTGCAGCAACCCATGGCTCGAGTCAAGGGGGAAAAGTTCGGCGGCACTGGGCTACAAGTACGGCTGGGGGTTCAAGCCGAGGGCCTAGGGTCGTCAATGCCTCTTTTCAATGTGAGAGACACTTCCGGGCACAATGCATAGACGAGAATACTGTCGCGTTCAAGAACGAAGGACTCACACGTCATGGACCAGTACATAAAACTCTACTGAACTTAGAACCCTAGCAAAAAATTATATTTTTAGCTGCTTCTTAGGGATTACAACAACCAAAAATTAAAAAGTATTTCTAAGTACCCCGAAGAAAACTGGCAACAATCGCGACTATCGGGCAGATCAGGGGAGGAGCCAAGGCGACTTGAAAGCAAGCGGAAACAAGGCGACAGACACTTCGGCAATCGGCAAACACAAAGCCCAGCAAAGCATCCAGGACTAGGAATGATCATGACTTCAAAATTTCTACAAGCATGTGTTTAGACTCTGTATACCGTATACCCCAAGCCGAAAAAATGAGTCGCAGGAGCAATCCCCAGGAGCTCGTCGAAACCCAAAGCAAGCTTGCAGCGAGGGCATAATGTCGGCAGTGCAGATGTCATTGGCACTCCTACTGGGATCTATACCAACCTCTTGTCCCGAATATCATAGGTGTCACTAGTTTTAGATGTTCACTGGAAGAGTACGAGAGTCGGAGCAAGAAAGTGCTATCACAGGTAAGCACAACTTGCTAAGCCCCCAATTGTTGCATCCTGCGTCGAGGCCTGCCTACTCACCAAATTGGCCGCCTAGTCAGCAAAAAGAAAACGCCCTTAAAGCAGCCATCTAGCCAGTCTACGACCTGCAATCATCTTGACGTCAGCCCCAAACTCCTAAACCCTACTTGGAGGCCCTTTTGACTTAGTAAGTCTACTTAGTATCCCCTAGCAACCCCATGATAATCCCCATAACCCACCTTACTAACCCTACGTACTAAGTCAAAAGGGCCTCTAAGTAACCCCATACTCTTTTCTGGCAACCCGCTTGGTTCTGGGGTGCCGATCCACATGCTGAGCTCGCGGCGATGCCCTGGGACTTCTTGAACTCCTCTGTGCGGACGGCTACGCAGCAAAATAGGGGCCTTTCCTGCACCATACTATTTGGGGCTCCTTATTATATTATAAGTACACGATAAAATGCCCAAAAACCCAGTCTAATAATTAGGGCCCCTATACCACGTGTTCAAAAGTATACTGCAGATCTGGGAACAGCCTGCCAGCGCAGGCCTCGACCAAGAAGGTCAGAATTGTGTGGTCGAAATCCTCTCCTGCATGTGTCCAGCTGGCGTCTTGAGAATCGCAACATGCAGCACGATAAGACAATGACCATGGCCAGCAGCCTCCCAGGGATGTGTCCCCGTTGGTTGCCTTGACCTGTCAGGTGCGCACAGCACAAGCAAGCGAGAGGGCGCCGGGGAAGTGCCAAGAAAACTGCCGAGCGAAGTGCCAGTGGCAATCTACGACTGGATCACTGGGAGGTGCTTCGAGAAATCCTGAAACCTCCCAACCCTAAGGGCGTCTTTTTGCTCACTCCAGCCGTCTCGGAACCCTCGCTTCGCGGGTGACTGAGACTCCTGGCACGGGTCCGGACACGAATCAGAAAACACGGATGCTTGTTCAAACACAAAGATACCAAAAAAGGAGTCCCCATTGTTCGAGAGCCCCTTGAACATAAAGCGAAGATGGGGGGTGCTCGGCTTAGCACATCGGAGTCCACATCGTGTCTTGCCCTCGTGGCAGAAGTTGCCGAGCTCGGTTGAGTTTTGTGGCCTCAGCTCAGCCTCTCGCCTCAAACAACAAGTGCTACCAGGGAATATTAGGGTTTAGGGTTTAGGGTTTAAGGTTTAGGGTTTAGGGTTTAGGGTTTAAACCTGAGATCATCCAATTCCTAGCGCTCCACAGCACACATCGTGATATTTCGCAGCCTCTCCCCCACAGTGACAGCCACCCGTCGCGCCTTCATCGTCCTCACCAAGCAAGCACAGGAGGGACGGCATAGTGAACTCTAAACCCTTTTGCGGCTGGGGGCTCTTTGATGGTAGGCAAGTTCTCAGAGACTGCTAAGCAGACCTGATGCTGCTGCTTGCAGCGAGCAGAATGTGAGCATTATACCGGAAACATGCGGCCTGCGCCCGGCCTCGTCTGCGAAACCTGGCTGGTGTCGCGCTTTGCCTGAGCTGGGGTGAAATCACCCCTGGACCGGGATCAGAGGCGGGACTACAGACAGCAAGCAAGCTTTTAACCTGTAAGTATGGCCGAAGCACCATAACCCCAACCTTCACAAAGCTACATCTAACTCCCAAGCAACCTGCAAGGAGAGTGAAGGCACCTCTCACAGCCGAGGCATGTTTCCCAAAGACTTCAGGCTCCTGTGGAGAGTCAGAAGACAGCGGCCCTGGTGTCAACCTTGAGGAGAAGGTCCTCTCTGTAAGGACCCGCCTCCTACTATAGGGGCCTGAATAATTAGAATAGGGTTTTGGGGCCCATTATACTATAATTACAATAAGGAACCCCGAAATAGCAGGGGTGATTATTAAGGCCCCTATATCACCTTATTTCTTTGTGCTCAGGCCCTAAGCGAACCGCAAGACCTGAACCGAACACCCCGGAAGCGAGAGCCAAAGCTTTGCTGAGTTCGAGGGAGCTGCGTTTGAGTTACCGTATCGATAAGGAAAGCAAACAATGTACTCTGTCTGTATTGAGCTTCCGAAGATTGGAGGTACCTAGTTTTGGGGTCCTTCTTGCAAGGATCCTACTATTCAGGTTTCTACATGAGGGTCCCCGATATTTGGAAACTCCCATATACATCTTGGCCCGTCATGCAGGGGCCTGAGTAGTGAGAACAGGGTGTGGGGTATTTTACGGTATAGCTATAATAAGGAAGCCTCAAAATAGAATAGGTGGTTATTAAGGCCCCGATACTAGGTTCCCCAAGAAGACTGCAGATTCAGGCGGCTGGGCACCCGACGTTTCAGCAAGGCCACTGACGGCCTGAGCTTGGAAAGCGTGTAAGCACACGCGGATGGCCAACATCCGTAAGTTATGCTGTATATGTTTACAGACTTTGTCTCTTCCCTGTGAAGGGGAGACTCTGATGAGGTTGCTCTGACTTCGTGCCCTGCGGCTCCGCAGGGTGCGTCATCTCTGGAGACCGGTTTAGGGTTTAGGGGTTTAGGGTTTAGGGTTACATCCACAAGCCTCTCTCTCCTCCCATGCCACATAGCTCGCGATCACGGTGGAAAATCTACGAAACCCAGGCTTCTATCGAAAGCCTCCTAAAGCCTCCTAAACCCGTGAATCCTTGTTTTGGATTCCTGCGCCCTACTGGCCACAGCAAGACTAAGACCATTGCTAGCCTTCATGACGACAACCGTAGCACAAGCACAAGAAGCAGTGATGCTTTAAGAATATCGCGACTCCCTCCACATAACACAGAAGCAAAGAAATCAAAACAGTGACACTTTCATAAACCCCCCAGTCTTCCTCAAAGCTGAATGGAGGCGTCCCGGATCCGGCCTCCCATGGCCAGGCGCCTCCCGAAGGCACAGGGCTTTGCAAGGGAGGCTGTTAGGTTGAGGGCCTTGGGTTTACACTCTCACAACTCGTTTTGGGGATGACGATAAGGGCTCATAAGATGGCCATGCTTAAGGCTTCAGGAGACGTAGCATGTAAGCACAAGGTAAGGAGGAACGGAACCACTATAACCGAGAGCCACCGTGCCTGCGCAGGCTCTTGTGGCTCTGGCATCACCGGGCTGGATTCGTCCGGAGGACCTGCATACCAAAGTTTGCAGCAGCTGTGACATGGATGCACTGCATAGCAGCCACGGAGCAATCCGAGCAAAGCCCACCCGGAACCTACCATGTTTCATGCTGCGGAGCCACCGGCACTACCGCAGAAAGGTCGTGCCTTGATCATCGACGTGTGTGGATCCAGCCTGGCGAGACAATTCGGGAAACTGGGGGGGTGTGGAAACAAGTACAGGGAACGGTTTGGGGTTTAAGGTTTAGGGTTACAGGTACTGTATGTGAACCCACATGCCAGCCAGCTCGTGTTCCTGCTCGTTCACTTCTCTGCTTATGGAAGTTTCACTTTACAATACAACATTTGCTGACCTGGCGGCTGGAGGTTTGTCTGGGAAACCGCGAGGCGCGGCAGATGGCAATTGGGGGAAGTCCATGGTCTTGGCAAGTAACAAGATACATGTACATATGCAATAACATAATAGTAAGTAAATACTCATACGAGTACTAATGTATACTCCCGTATATATTATAATATATTACATTATACTATATTATGTATATACATATGAACATATATATGTAGATATATGTATAGAAAAAATGTGTATATATATATACATATATATATATATATATATGTTATGGCAACCATGCTAAGCGCGATCCTGGACAAGCGCCCTGAAAAACAGACAAATCTTTGCCGCATGGCATGGCCTTCGCCTCGTGGCCACGCCGTGGCCGCGCAGGGTACTCTGAGGTCCCCACCTTGTCGGCCAAAACTCCGTGCGGGAGTCTCAGAAGAGCTGCACTATATTGTGTTCACTAAATCCTAGAGCCACTAAGCTGGAGACTGCGACTTGCATTCTAGACTCTATGTAAAGTGGTGGGGCCGTGGTTTGGGAAGTGGTTGGTGCATGCACGGGCCGGGGCGTGCAAGCCTACTGCGCTTCTGGTTCCAAATTGTTTTCTTTGCCTTACCTGTACCTGTGGCCGTTGCTTTCTTCAGCTTCGACGAGTCCTGATCTTCCGTGCTATCCAGCAGGCTGACACTCAATGGGATGATGCTGTTCTGTGTCTCTCCTGTCCTGTGCTGGTGCTTCTCCTCATCACCTTCAGCCGTGGCTGTCTACTTCTACGACGATAGAAAATCGAAGCGGGAATTCCTGTATATGCTTGAACCAAAATTTGTTTTCGGGCTGTGGCCTAGCTTGGGTGGAGGAGTTATGGACTCAGGGGTTGGGGTTGAGGTTTCGGGTTGAGGCCCAGACAGACTACCTCTTCGCTGAAGTACTGCACCCTCCGAGCGCGCGGCATTGACACGCTGGAGACCTCTCTCCTTCAGGGATTTGCGATTGGGGTTTACGCTTGAGGGTTCTTGTCGATTCGTAATTGAATTGTGGGCTTTGGGGTTTAAGGTGAGTTCAAAAGTCTTCATTCGCTGCCAAGAAGATGTGTTGAAGGGCTTCTGTTTTGAGCGTCTTGTTTCACGCGAGACATACACTTCCGAACGTGAACAGGGAAAGGGCTCACACAAAGCCTGTCGTCTGCTGAAATTGGTTCGCCGTTTCATGTCGCACTGTACATAGAGGACTTGTGTGGGCTTGCTGAAGGAATTGAAAGATGTAGCCTGCAACTACCCGGTGCCAGCTGTACAAGCGGAAATTACTGCAAAAGGATTACCTTCAGGGCCCTTCACTCTTCTGCCGCGCTACAAGCACTGCCATTTCAGGCCCCCTGAAATTCGTTCATTCAAGAAGTGAGCATTCCTCCCCAAGTCATTCAAGCCCCCGACAAGTTCTGTCCTCGAAGAAACGTTTGTTGTACGGCATCAGAAGTTGCTCGCCTTTGGCGACGCCTCGGATTCGCTTCGACAAGGACATGGCCGGCTGAACCGAAACTCGAAACACCAGCGTTGCAAACTGGCACGACACTGCAACCATTTTCAATCCGAACAAAACCACTCAAAAAAAAACGCTCCACCACATCTTACTCCCGGAACATCATATCACAGAATAGAATAGATGGAAACAAGAACAAGAATAAGAATAGAATGTATGTACGAACAGAACACGATACAATACAATACAAGAACAGTACAATCATATTACAATACACAATACACAAGTACAACAGTAAAATACAATGCAACACAAAAACAACACAACACAATCAATTGTACTACAGGAGATTACAGTATAGTACCATACAATACAATATAATAGCACAAAGTACCATATAACACTGTAGCCGTTAAGTAAGGAACATAATAACATGTGTGTTAGAACAAACCCTACAAAATAATGGTGCATACTTATTCGCATGGTAACTCAGCATCGACCGATGTCCCACGCGGAGATGCCCAAACCCCGAGCCCCAGTACTCATCGCACCTCGCTAAACAAAAAACGGGGCCCTGTGAGTACACAGCGTCATCCAGGGGCTTTGCTGTTTTTTTTAATACGCCCCTTTTCCTATCCGCCACAAGTGTTCTGAAAGGGGTCTTGCTCTAGGGTCCAAGACTTAGGCTAGGCTCCAGGGTATAGGGCTTCGGCCGACGCAAGCACACAGCAGCGAACATGCGAACAAACCCTTAGTTGCTGAGTTCATAAGCCCCAAGCAGTGTACACTGTTATCCCATAAAGTGTAAAGTGTATCCACTCAGCTACTAAGAACCTTTAGAACATCTTCCAAGTACACAGCCTGTCTGATATCCCGACGCTGTTGATGGTAACTACTTCTCGAGACATCAGCCTGCAAAATCGCCCGTGCCTGTAGTACACATCTCGATCTGCAGGTATACGGTCTGAGGTCGTTGCGGAAGAAGGCAGCAATGAAGAATCTTTGAGCTGCAGTTCTTGCGCAGGAACCCTTCCTCTGAACCCCAACACCCGAGATCCGAGTCCCCTGCAGTGCCGTGTCTGGAAGAACCAACATCCGAATCCTTGGCCGCAGGGAACCCTGAGACCCCCCCTTTTCCCTTAACTTAGGAATATACCTCAAAATTACAGTAGGATCCAGAGACTCCAACATCCCTTAATTAAGGGATATACCTTAAAGCTTTAGTAGGATCCGCAATATGATTTAAGGAATATACCTGAAGATTGTAGTAGGATCCTTAATATGATTTAAGGAAAATACCTTAAGAGAATAGTAGGATCCCTAATATGACTTAAGGAATATACCTTAAGATTATAATAGGATCCTTAATATGATTTAAGGAAAATACCTTAAGAGAATAGTAGGATCCCTAACATGATTTAAGGAATATTCAGTATTTAAGGGATATGGTAGCTTCCGAAAATAGGGGACCCTAATAAAATACCCTAGAGAGTAGGATCCTTATTGCAAGGACACCCAAAAAAAGGTACCCTAGTTTTCGGAAACTCCCATATTGGAGCCTCCGGGAACTGGAGGATCGATCCGACGGCTCTCTTTGTTGCGGCTTCCATCTGCTTAGGGCCTTCATAAATTAGACTAGGGCCCCTTAAAGGGCTCTATCAGGGTTTCTGTTATTATACTAAAATTATATTGAGGAACCCCAAAACCCTATTCTAATTGTTAAGGCCCCTATGCGAAGTCCTTTTCATAGCCCTTATTGTGACCCTTATAGACGCCTTGAACCCCTGAAGGAACCCTATTCTGATTATTCAGGCCCCCTACATTAGATCAAGTCTGGGCAGGTGTGGGCACTGGACTGTTTCGCCGGATAGAGGGCTGTGATCTTTAGGGCTTTTTTCCCCGCCCCCTTCAGGGTTTCGGCGCTCACTCTCGGACAATCCAGGCGAGGCATGTGGTTTGGAGTCTGACAAGTGAAACTTCACCAGGAGGAAACTCAGAGCATATCCTTAGGGTTTAGGGTTCAGACTATTTCGCGATGCCGCTTCACAGATGCTGCATGACCAGAAAACTGTCGGGCTTCCTTGCTTGTAGGGAGTCCTTGCATGGCGACACTTCCCCAAGCCAATACTTACCTTTGGTTAGTATAGGGAATGGAAGAATGGTGGTAATAGTAGTTATCATTGTACCCCATTCCTCCATTCCCTACTAACCAAAGGTAAGAATATTGGCCAAGGAACCCGCACCGCCGGCGGTGTGGATCTTCGTGGTGCACGCCAGGGTGCTGGCCTTCGGGCTTAGAAGGCTTAGAGAGATGTTTGTCCAGACGGCGCCCTTACAAATCGAGCTTTGGGGAAGCTGCCGAAGGCTGAATTCCTCGAAGGCTGGAATGCCAGAAGGCTCATGCGCTTTTGTCTTGCTGCTGCTCTTCCTTCTTCTCTATCGCCACCGCCTTCGCTCCCCAAGAACCTATGCAGGACAGCGCGTGTGCCTCAGGAAACTCTGCGACCACGGTTTAACCTCTTGGGGCTCCTGTTTTCCATCCCTTTCAGCTGTGTTTGGCTTTCCCAGATCTTCCAAGTTATCTTCGTTTAGGAATGTAGATGTTCTGTCTCATTCCGGGTTCATCCGGGATCCCGGCTATGGTTTAAGGAGTGCTTCCTACTCCACACGTGGCAAGGAAGTGTCTGGGCGGTCGTCTCCTGGGCGGTGCACCTCGCTTGGGCCCGGGGCAGCGCAGTACTGCAGCAGACTCCTCAGGCTTCACAGAATTTTCCACAGGTTTTGGGGTTTACGCTCTCGCAACTCGGACAAGCCAGACGAGGTTCTTGGTGCTAAGTCGGCAGAAGGAAAGACTAGAAGGCTCACCCGATAGCCGAAAGAACAACAGCTCAACAGAAGGTAAAGCCACGTAGGACCGGCTGTCGGGCGGGCTGAGAGAAGACTCCCCATATTAGAGGAGGGAGGTACTCCAGGCATCCCCGAAGTAAAAGACAGTCAAAACCAAGGTAGTGCCACGGAGGACGAAATGCCTGGGAGCCTCCAAACTAGAGTACAGTAAAGGTTGAAATTGCAAGGTAAAGGAGAGTATGGTATACAGATGAAACCTATACAGCTGGAGCGTGAAACCAGCGAGAATGCAGAAAGTAGGCGATTTCCGGAACTACATGTGTGTCTGGACAGGCATGCAAAAAGAACTATACACGACGGTACCCACGTAACTCACTTCAGCGCTCACTTGATGGGGTTTAGGGTTCAGGGTTCACAATCTAAAGCTCGGGTTGGAGGAGGTACCGGCCTCCCCGTCGGCAACAGTGGACTCTTTCTTTGCTTGTGGCTTGGTCTTCTGCAAGCTAATAACTAAAGGCAATCGTTGAACCAACGTGCCAGGTGCAGCGATTCCTTGCAAGACCACTCCAGGTCAAAGATGAACCACTGTCTGACAAGATGATATAACATGATACGAATCGGAATCACCACAAAGGAACTCTCGGTGGGGCAGCCAATCACCGACCCCACTGACTCGCTCTCGTTAAAGGACGAGGACGCCTTCGCCGGGCCTCACACGACGATCGCCGCGCCCGCTCCACGCCCCCACTCTGCATCGCTCGAAGAGCCAACAACCCCATTCTCGATACCACCTTCGTTGGTCCCACGCCTCATGCGGAAGTAGCCTTTCTCACCCCAGTATGGGTTCCACGAGTTTGCAATCTTCCAGTACTTCACACCGCCATCGACGCCCCCAGCCGACCATTCGCACGGCGTGTCCACCTACCATCCCACCCTTCACGTGGTGGTAGATCCCATGGCTGTAGAGCTCGAAGTCCGAGTACACATCGAAAGCGGTCTCCACGGGCCCACCGGCCATGATCATCTGCTGGATGGCGCGCTCCCCAGAGGCCGTCTGCGTCCTTCCCTTGTAGTGGTACTTGTCCTCCTTGAAGTCCTTGTGCGGTGCCTTGGCGCTGGCATCACACTGCGTCGGTCCCTCGGGAGACTCCGCCTGTGGGCAGCCCTGGGAGCCCTCGGCGGGGTAGGGATCCTGGCCCCGGGGACCATGGTGGTGGCAATGCGGCAGAGAGAAGTCGCTGCAAAGGCCAAGCCCGAAAGGACCTGTTCCTTTGTACTGGCCACCACTGACAGCACCGGTGTCCTTGATGTACTGCCATGGCGTAGCAATCTGCCCTCCGCCGCAACCATCTGGGTTGGAATTGAAGCACACATCCTGGGCGGAAATGGGGATCATCGTCTTGCCCTTCGTTGCAATGCACATTCGGTCAGAGGCAGCTTCAGCCCCCGCGAAGGCCCAGCAGCAGCCGCAGTGAGATTGGTCGCGGATGTCAGTGATGATCTTCTCACACTCTGGCCACTGCGCCGCCGAGTCGAACTCCTCCGGGATGTCTCCATCCGTCTCAAAGAATCGCTCGAGGTCCCCTCGCTTGATCGCCGACTCGATGGACCTCGTCGTGTTCCCTTTCACGCCGCAGAGGTCCTTGGAGGCTCCGGGCGCCTCGGCGGCAAAGCGCTCCACGGCGCCAGGGACCCAGGTGACTCCCGGCGTACGCTGGATCTCTGCAATCATAGCGGCTCGATCGGGATGCACCTCGAAAGATGCAACGCCCAACAGGCCAAAACCAAGATGCAGCGCGCGATACATGACGAGTCACGAGGCGGCAAATCCGGAGTTCTATCCTCCAACTAAGAGCTTCAAATTTCTCGAGCCATTCCCAGGAGTTTAGGTTTTCAACGTTTCGGCAGACACACTCGCGCAAGTTAAGCGACAAGCAACGATGGGACAAGCCAAGCATGCGAGCCGCCGCAAAGCGCAGCTGCATTAGCAAGCCTCTGTTGGCCACATCCACTGGATACTGTATCCATGCGGACACCGAAGCGAGAAACGTGCTCTGCTTCTGACGGTTTTAGGGCTCACTGCTAGTCAGCGAGTCAGTTGTGGTGGCTTCAAGCTTGCCATCGTCCGAGGGGCCCTTCCCAGGCAGTTGAAAGGCCCGAAAGTCCAAAACCCCCTTTTGGCTGCAGCCTGGGATCCCCGGGTGGTCGGTCGGATCGATGACCCAGCCCGGCCTGTGCCTTACTTTGCTGGGCTCTGAGCCCCCGCATTCACTCGGAATTCTGAGCATAAACACCTTGACCATATGGAAAACTGCTTTTTCACACGAACATGTAAAAAAAGGCAGTTGTCGCTTTGCTCAACCTCTTCAGCACGAACCCTGATAAAGACTGCCTCGGACCCTGGCGACAACTCAAAGCAGCGGCTAAGGTCCTTTGCCTGGGAGCATTGGCACGGCGAACGAAGCACAAGCCAACCAGAGAGGCGACACAAAGACCGCAGAAGCACTCTTCCCGAAACAAACTATAAGATACGATGCTATACATACTATATGTCCTCAACCGAAAGGGACACTAAAAGAAATTGTGACTATACTCTACCAGTACTATACTCTACTATATGCGACTTTGGTCAATTTCATGTGATCTCCCTCACCTATCGACCTGCCAGCTCTTGGAACCTGAAAGCTTTCCCCTCGGCCCCCGGTGACCTCGGCCTTTCGACAGCAGCGTCCCCACCATGCCAGCCGGTAGCCCTTGGGTAGCGGTCGTGCCTTCAGAGAACGGTGCGTATGTAACCCGTGGCTAGGTCGGCAAACCGGTAGGCATGATGCCGCTGCGCTGGCACTGCACACGGTATTGCACCATCAACGGGTACCATACATGAAGCGATGATCTTGACTGGCTGTCGATTCCAACAGTCCCCAGAAGTACTTATAATTGGGGCTCCCTATTGCACACTAGTATAGCGTAGTATAGCATAGTATAGCATAGTATAGTACAGTAAAGTTTTTAAAATGGCCGTAAGCCCTAAACCCTAAACCACCGGACAATCACCAAGCTGCAGCGACCAGGATCTTGCCCACACGAGGGATCTCCCGGACCATGCAGCTGGGGTCGCCATGGCCCTGGGAAACCGTCGTTCAGCCAAGTGGGAATACTTTGAGTTTGTTCAACAGAGTTTTGGGGTTTGCTTTGGCATGAATTATTACAAGCATTAGTCCTTAGGGCTCCAAAATACGAGTATTATGGTATAATATGCTTTATTTGGGAGCCCTAAGGAATAATGAATATTGCATGTATTTATTCAGGCCCTAAATCACACCAGAAACCCGAAAGGCCCGCTGATCCCACGTGGCCCACGGACGTGGGATGCTTTTCGAGTCGGGTTGGGGGATGCACATCATCGGACAGGCTTTGGGTGTGGCATCTTCGCCCATCTTCGCTATTAAAACACTGAGGAGCAGCAGCAGTCGCGGTAGTGGTAGTGGTAGTGGTTGAGGTAGTGGTACTTGAAAAGTGAGAAGCTCCAAATTTTAGCTCTTGCCCCGGCATTACGCAAAACGTTGACGGCCGAAGATAAGGCAGGTGGCCGCATGCTCTTCACAGTAGGGCACATTGGCCGCCCAGGCGTCTCGCCCACAGCACGCACCACCTTGTGACGGGTCGAGGCTGGCTGGCTTGCTGCCCGGCCCGTTATTCACGGAATTGCCCGAAATGCAGCGTTCGCGTGTGTTCCTCTCACAAAAACGCAGATCCAGACCCCATGATCAACCTTACGTGCATGGACAAGACTAAGCCGAAATGAGAGCGCGAGACTACAAACTGGTCATCTCGGCAGGCCGCCAACAGTTGCAATGCAAGTATTGGCGAAGAGGCTCCGCCGCGAACCGGGCATTGTCAACGTCGCAGCATCTACATGCTCTCTGCTGACCCCGTCGAGTACGTGACGTCTCTCGATCACGTGACAACTGTTTTCATGAGCCCTGTCATGACGCAGTTCTAAGCCATCCTTTCGAAAGAAAGGCAGTGTTGTGTTGCAGATTGTCTTCATGTTGCATTGTTGATCTCGCCGCTTTTGCAGCGGTCCAGAAGGCCACGAGAGCCTCAATGACGGACGGGCACAGGTTGCAGAATCGCATGCAAGTTGGGTCGAGCAACTTGGCTACCCGTTCATGTTCTGTTCGGTGGCGAGCTTGGACTTAGCGGCGATTTTGGTGGCCCCGGCATTTCATTCTGAAGAGTGCGCATCCACCCCTGCCAGAAGAAAATCTCACCGAACAGATCCCAAGTTGCGCAGACGCGCGGGTAGCAAGCCCGTCTTTTTCCAGCCGAAGCCCTGCTGCAGAGAAAGCCCTCGACCATGGCATCTTCCATCTCAGAAATCCTGATGCCGGCTGAACTGCTGCTTATACCTTTGTTTTTTCCAAGCGTTAGCCATGCAAGAAGTAATAGTGACCCTAGTAATGCAGGCTTGAAGCTAACAAGCATGCCTTTTTGCTTATACACTTAACAACGTCGCTAATTTCTGGGCTGCCTGAACACCTTCTACGGCAAACCCAGTCTTCTTCCCCCTAGACCCTAAACCCTGAACCCTAAACCCGTTTTGCCGCTGGACTCATGTCTAGCCAGTCTACGACCCCCTTTTTGAAACCGGACTTGATGACTGCCAGCAACCCCTAAACCCTAAACCCTAAACCGTCCAAAAAAGGCTCCTCGTCGCCGCTGGACAAGGGATCTCCATCCAACTCGGCATCGGGCTCGGGGCTCTCCGTGCCCTGCCAGGGTCAGGGTTGAGGCTTTCGCGCTTCGTAGGGCTTCGTAGGGCTTCGGGTTTTAGGGTTCAGGGTTTAGGGTTTCGGGCTTGGGGGCTCAGGGGTTTATCAGTGAGTTTAGGGAGGTGATGATTGTCTAGCGTGGCGAACTAGGAATTGCCTTCTGTGACAGCACCCAGGCTTTCTGCTAGCTTCTCCACCCTGCCTGTATGGATCTCGGCGGTAGCTTTGAGTCGCAGACAGGTAAGCCCGACATATCCCGACACAGCATGGCAACATCAAGAACACCGTCATCTGAACATGACACTGATGATATCTGACGGTGACGTCGATCTAAAGAATGGCACAAGTCAGCTCAAAAAAAATCCCGATAGGCGACATCTGCAAGGAGTCGTCTAAGCCCCGGATTCTTCAACAAGCGCCCTATGCTCGGCAGCGTAGACCGGCGGATGCTCGACCCCTTGCCTTGCGCAAGCATCCTGGCCTCGGCAGGGTAGCTCGAGCATACCAAGGGTGATGATCCCAAGCGCCAGGTTACAAAGCTCTGCGATTGAACTTTTCTCTCAAGGTCTCGTCGAGCGTAGGTCTAGTATCCGAAGCCGCCCGTGGACTTTACAGACCTGGCTCGAACTAGCAATCCCATGCCAGCGCTAACCGGAAGGAGCACCAGCCGAGCCTGGACCCTGTTCTCACCCAGAGTATAGGGCTTCATATTCTGGTTTAAGCCATAGATTCCTTAATTAAGGGGTATTGGGCTCTCTGGGCAGCTCCCGACAACAACGACACAACACTGCTTCGGCCCCCGATAATCTCGCTGGGACCCCTGCTCGGTGGCCGACTGTGGCGGCGCCACGGCTCGAGACCTTCTTGCTGCTTTGTTTAATGGTGTTGGGGTTGAATTTTTTTCTGGGGGGGGCTCCTTTTTCCTGGGGTTGAAGTTTAGGGTTTAGGGTTTAGGGGCTTTGGAGTTTAGGGTTTATTAATGGTGCTGGACTCTCGCAACAGGAAAAAATGCAGGCGAGGACTCTTCGGTTCGAAGGGGTGGCTCGTTGGCTACGGGTCGGCAGATACAGCAGACACTCGTAGGGTTTAGGTTTTTTGAGCTCCTTTTCATGTCTGCCCCTCATCCAGGCCGGGTTTAGGGGTTAGGTCTCAGGGTTTTGTGTGGCTTGCAATCGAGGGTTTGAATTTGACAAGGATTCGATGCTGTTTGTTTCTGCTACAAGGGGTCTAGAAAGATCTTGACAAACCTTCTATAAGGGTTTTCTCCAAGGCTATCAGAAGATTGCTGGAGTTTTTCTTCTGAAAAGTGTGGGGGGGATTTCAGATTCATTACGCTGGTTGGGGAGGCTTCGGGCTTTCAGCTCACCCTCGGACAATCCAGGGGAGGCGTGTGGTACGTAGCTTTGGACGCGACTCGGAGAACGGTTTAGGATTTCGGCGCTCACACTCGGACAACGGTTTAGGATTTAGGGTTTAGGGTGGAGGAGGTCTGATATCAACTTTGAAACGTGCTATCGAGAGCTGGACTAATACAATGCGACACTACGTGTCAGACCCCGGGCCTACAAGGTGTCTGCCCGAGCTCTCACAGGGTTTGGGAAACTTTAGGCGGGGTCGGCTCTCGCAACTGCGACAAGTCCAGGAGGACACAGCCACAGCGGACTGGCAGCACTCAATTTACACTCGCGCAATACTGCAGGGCCCTTGCCGCCTGGGGTGAGACGACTGAACAACGCGCGACATGAAAGCCTCGCCTATCAAAATAGCTGCGAACGAGAAAGCTTCTGTAACAACGTGCAAATGCACAAAAAGGCTGCTGAGTAGTAAGATTGGCAGCCTAGCGAATTAAATTCGGCATCCTATCCCGACGAGCAGAAGCGTCATAAGCGGCCTGCCGTTCTGGCGAGGTGATGGTATGCGACGGTCATACGCAAACCTCCTACTGCTTTACATCCTGCGGCACCAGGCACTTGTCATACTCATGCGGAGCATGCTTCGCCTCATCCATCAGCTCATTGACAAACCGTAGCTTGTTCTTGTCCATGTTCATGATGCGAAGTGTGGAACTCAGCACCGCATCTTCAGCTTGCTGATCCGGGCTCCTCGCAGGTGTAGGGCTGTAGAACTCGGCGATGTCTAAGAAGGGGCCGAGGGTTCGCCCGTGCTCGATAGCCACGATACAAGCTTCCACGGTCGGCGATCCACGTTCGGGATCGAAGATGTCCTTGTTCCTCTGCTGCAGCGTCCCATGCATTTTTTGAAAAATGGATTTGTAGTCAGGATCTTTAGCCAAATCCACGAGCTCCTTCGGATCATCCCTCACATTGAACAGGCAACCCTCACTGCAATCGACCACCCAGGTTTGCCACTCCTTGCTTTCGTCGGAGAATTCGGGCAAGAATACGGGAGCATCTGAATAAATCGCTGCGGACATTGGCCCCTCTTGCCTTCGAACGCTTTGCAAAGTGGAGCAGTTCGGAAAGACGGGCCCCGGCCAGCCTCCGTAGTAAACCTTGCCAGTAAGGACTTTGTATGGCCACATCAGCAGGGCTCCTCCAGAGAGATGCAGGGGATCGGCTCTGCCGTTGCGGTTCTGGAGGATGTTTTGCCACTGCGGCACGCTGTCTACCGGAAAGAGCAGGGGGAGGCCCTTTTCCCGTAGCCACCTGTTGGCCGCCTCGGCTTTTGGATCCTCGATGTCCACGCCGGCAAGCTCTGCAAGCGTCCCGTACCAGTCCGCGATGCTGATGACGCCTTCGAACTTCGTGCCACGGCGAGATTCTGGCACGAAGCCGCCAGAGACAAAGGCATTCGTTCGGATGCCTCCTTCAAAAAGTGATTTTTTGCCTCCTCGCAGAGGATGGTTTGAAGCACCACCAGGCTCATAGATTGGACCGCCGTTGTCGGAAAGGAAAATGATCAAGGTGTTGTCATACATATTCCTCTTTTTCAAGGCTTCAATTGCTTCGCCGATTGCGGCATCCATGTAAAGATTCATGGCAGCATAGAGTCGCCGATTTTGGGAATCAAAGGGATGGCCACCTGCCGCCTTAACAAGGTCATCGATTCGTCGAAGCCACGTCTGCGGCACTTGCAAAGGAGTGTGAAGCAAATGGAATGCATACAAAAGGAACAAGGGCTCTTCTGTGTCATGGAACCGGATGATTTCCAGAACCCTCTCTTTGAAACGATGCTCTTCGTAACATGACGGCTCCGACTCCTTGTCATCATCGCTTTCGCACACAGCTGACAAGGTGGCATCGTCGAGAACGGGACCGCAGTAGCTCGAGTTGTGCATGGACAAATCTCTCATTTGGTTCAGGCACGCGTCGACGGCCCCGAAGGCTGAAGTCATCCCGCTTGTCGCATGCCAGTAGTCGTTGCCATGGCCGTAGAAGCCATACCAAGTCTCATATCCCCGGCCTTTTGGTGAGTGCTGCGGCGTCGCAACGCCGACATCCCACTTCCCGACCATGTGGGTGCGGTACCCAGCCGCGAGCATTTTTTCCGCCATGCACGTCATATTCCGCGGGATTCCTGCATAGCCGCTCACTGGGTCCTTCGGATTCACTAGCTGCAGGTCAAAATCGCTCAGGTCCTTGTTCACATGCACCGGAAGGCGGCCCGACTGTAAGGCGGCGCGGCTGGGGGAGCACAAATGCAGGGCGTAATGCCGGTCCAACAAGATCCCTTCATCGATGAGCCTGTCGAGATTGGGCGTGTGAACCTCCAACTTTCCCTGGAGCTCCTCCGGTGAATCTCCCGCATCCCGGCGATGGACACCCAAGTTGCCCCAACCGTAGTCGTCTGCCACGATGAAGAGCACATGAGGCTTTTGGCCTGCTGCCAGCCACAAGGTAGACAAGGCAAGAACGCGTGCCATGGCTGTCTCGGCTCGGGCACCTGAACCCTCGACTTCCTCACAGCTTCCATATCATTCTGGGCTGACTGCTCGCGACTCGTGTGCAACCGGCTCGCTCATTGAAGCTCATTGTGCCATCTTTCGGTTTTCCATCTAGAAAGGATATCGGTCCGCGGATTGCGCAGCTTTGTGGCCTACGCAGCTTCACGGCTAAAGCCTCGAGCTGCAGCCAGGAGGCACTTTGTCGGTTCGGAGTTTGAGGCTTGGCGGTTGAACAGTTTGAGGGCCTCCCCAAAGTAGTACTTGGGTTACTTGCTATGTCCTACATCATAAGCCTAAGCACGGGCTTGATCCGATCCCTCCAATCTACGGAGGCCTTGCCGAGAGAAAAGCCGCAGCATTGGCGGCTGCAGCCACTGCCGCCGCTGCGGCGGCGACGGACTGGGCATTGTCCAGAGGCTTCAGGCCCTGGCGCGGTTCCGCGGCTTTTAGGAAAAAGGGTCTATAGGGTTTAGGGTTTAGGAAACAAGGGTTTAGGGTTTAGGGCTTTCGGGTTTAGGAAAAGGGGTTGAGAGTTTAGGGGTCCAGGGCTTTGGGGCTTAGGGTTTAGGAAAAAAGGTTTAGGGTTTAGGGATTGAAGTATGAGTCAAGCAGTCGACGCCGCCAAGATTCTTGGGCTGCGACATTTCCTTTCGACACCATTCTCGAGTCCAGAGTCTGGGGAGCGGTGGGAAAGATACCGAAGGATAGATCCCCCACAGAGACAGGCAGAGGAAAGCAATGGACTGGCAGACTTCAGACAAGAAGACAACCAAGACCAAGATCTCGGGTTAAGGGTTTCGGGGTTTAGGGTTTAGCGGTTTAGGGGCCTAGGGTTTCGGGGTTTGGGGTTCAGGGTCTCGACACACACCTTCAAGCCAACGAACAAAATCACACGGTTGCTCGACCGATAAGACGTGCCAAGTCTTTCGTCAAGAGAGGGTGCAGCGGAGTGACCCTACACCGTCACAGCGGAGCAATTGATTCGCTGCTGGAGCAGCTGCGGAGTGACGGAGTTCGTGACGGAGGATTCCCCAGTCGCATTTCTCCAACACAGCACCACTGCACCATGTGAACCCAAAGAGTTGGAACATGGACTTAGTATGATTAGTGCTGGGATTCCCGTTATTTTACTTTAAGAGCCTGAGGATAATGATGTTCCAAATTTCTGGCTTCTACTTCACCCTCATGCGGTACTACTTTTCAACCTTGCTTGCTCTCTCCCTCTCCGTCTCTCCTCGGGATGTGGCAGTGTGTCAAGTGTCAAGCCTCCCGGGCGTCAAGCCCGCGCATGCTACTATGAAATTTAATTTGGGGAACAGGTGAAAGCCGCGATTCGTCGACATGTCGCGTGGAGATCGGCATGGAAAACCGTCAGGTTTGCCTGAAGGACATTCCAACCACGAACACTTTCCCTTGGCTTCTGCAACATCAAGATTCTCGTCGGTTCTTTCAACAAGTCGCATCGCTCTTCGTACATGGAGACAGTCACTCTCATTCTCTCTCGGACTGGGCAGCTCATCTGTCGGCCAGCTTGTTCGAAACCCTACTTGGAGCATCATGGGACTTGGTATGCGAAGTTATAAACAAGGCAACTATACTTACAATATCTTACAATTACCCATAACCCATAACCATAGACTCATAGACAAAGTAAGTATACTCAGAATTACTTATATCCATATCAAACTCTACAACCCGGAACCCACCGTAAGACCAGGTCTTCTCGGCACCCGGCGGCGAGGCTTGGGTGGACTCGGGCAGTTGGGGTGGAGGAGCCTGGCGACGGCATGACGATTGGCTTTCTGATTTGCTCATGAACCTATACCTATACATCTACATTGACATCCACATCTATACGTACATCTACATCTACATCCACATGTTCTACGTATACGAACACATATGCGCGCCACAGGGGCGCATATACACCTACACACATACAAAAGCATACACATAAGCAAGATATGCACATATGTTTTACACATATCATATATGACATATACACATGCACGTGTAGAAACAACTGCACCTCTTATTCACATGTGCACATAAACGACATAGACACACTAATATACGTATACGTATATGTACACATGTATAGAGACGTGAAATGGCAGTGAACTCGCACACGCTTACATGATGCCCTTATGTCTGTGTACATGTCGATAAATGCCCATGCATGTGAACATGAACGGGGCTGTTGGGTTTTGTCGATGGTGCGGCCTCAAGTTCACATGATGTTCATCTTTAGCCTTCTTTGTTTAGGGTTTTTTTGACACTCACACTCGGACAAAGCCTGACAAGACCTGCAGCGATACTGGGTCGTCGAGGCATTAAAGCCGTCAAAGATGATGTATATAAATGCCAGAAACAACTGCAACACTTTTTTGACACTCACACTCGGACAAAGCCTCGCTGCTTTTGTTCAGGGCTTGCGGTTTAAGGATGCCCTTCCGTTCTGAAATGCCAACGAAGAAATCTGCGCACGGCCCTGCACGGCACATAGGCCTGCGAAGTGTGAACATGGCTCTCCTTGGTTTCCGAATGCCTCAACTCGGCACACTTAGTAGGACCATGGGTATTCCGAGTAGAAGCATTCAAAAGCATGACAACTCAGTTAAAAATACTACGTCTCGTCCCCAAGTACGGTGTATACTTATGTTGTGACGAATTTAGGGCACCAGAGCAAGAAGTTTCCCCTCTGTCCAAGCCCCTCTGTTTGACCCGTATGGCTAGGGATCCATGCCCACAAGCGAGGTTGATTTGGGTGCTTTGCCACATGCCACTCTAAACAAACACCAGGCCCCTCCATGATTTCGGGGGCGCTTAGGGAACTTAATGGTTCAGGGTTTAGGGATTTGCGCTCTCGCAACTCCTCTAGGGATTTAGGGTATACTGTATAAGGTTTGTGGTGACTTATCCCGAAGTTGGACGGCCTTTGTCCTCACGCCTTCTGCGCCGCGGCGACTTGCCTTCACATACCACCAGAAACCAAAGCAAACGAGAAGGTCTTGGGGGGTCGAGGGCGGCTTTCACGGAGTCCTACAGCTTAGAAGCTGTATGGCGTGGCCAGCCTCTAGAATTCTCCAAATCTCAGCCGCCTCTTTAGAGTTTGAAGTTTACCGCGCTTTTGACACTTACACTCGGACAATGCCAGGAAAGTTTAAGGGTGTACGCTCCCACAACTGGGACATGCCATGCGAGGTCTCACGGTGCACAGTCGGACTACAGAAGAAGCCGCGTAGGAAACCCAGAGAGCCCAATACCCCTTAATTAAGGAATATGGCTTAAATTATAAGGGCCTTCATATTATGATTTAAGCTATATTCCTTAATTAAGGGGTATCGGAAACCCTAATCCCTATATATAGATCCCTTACAGATCCCTTTTAGACCCCTTTTAAAGGAACCCTATAGGTATAGTATATTCCTTACTTAAGGGGTGTTGAGCTCTCTGGAAAGATGCCGGTACGCCCTATAGAGACAGCGCCTCGCTCTCGCGACGGGTTCCTTGAATCTGGGGCATCTGACCTTAGGCTTCGATTGCAGAGTGTAGTGCTTTTATATATTATCGTAGATTATATACAGTAGCTTCAGTATATATGACAGGTTATGATGTATTTTGGTATCTTCCTTCCTTCCATATCCTTCCATCGGTAAGTCCGCAAGCGGATCCCGGCATGGTATCTCTTTCTTTCCCCAGGCTTGAGGGCACGCCCCCGTGGAAGCAGCCCGTGCTGTTGTAGGGGGGCATGGTATTACATGCGACAAAGGTCGGGCACTCCACAGCAAGAGCAACTTCTTTGGTATCTCTCTCTCTCTCTCTCTGCCGTTGCATCCCGAGGGTCTAGCAGCGTCAGACAATGCTTCCTACAGTATATTGGAGTATATCCTGAGGACCAGAAAGAGGTATCCTCCCGAGTTTCTATAGGCGATGGGTAACCGCACAGGAACAACCCATGCGTCGAGGTTCCTCTCAACACGGAACCCTGACGCGCAAGGCGATAGCGCTAGCACCTTGCAGCCAAGATGTCATCCGCTGACAGTTTCAAAGCTTGAGCGCTCAAACTCTCAAAGCCCGCGCCGGTCATGCCACCAGAGTTCTTGAACCACAAAAAGCTAACTCATCTTCGACAAGTGTCCGCTCCTGGCGCCGATCCCTCCGTCTTGGGGGCGTCGGCGGCCGGCCCTTCGAGTAGCCAAGACGATCACTTGACGCTGCTTCCTACACTCCTAGACAAACCACAAAGCAATGGTGCCACAAAGCCTTGCAGAAGCTGGACACACGTGGCAACTTGCAGGGCAGGTCGGCTTCCTTATATACGCTCGGTCCACCTCACACAGGGTAAGCCCCAGAACCCACGATGTCAATATCATAGCGCCCCACATTGCCTAGAACGGATTGACCCGAATAGAACACCATGCTAAACTGAGCAATGTAGCAATTTTCTTCATCAAAACCGGACGGACTATTTCGGATTTCGCAGTTTCTTTCGTTTGGAGCCAGCCCCCGCCTTTCGGCCGTGCAGTTCCTCGCGGCTCGCCCGATGCCCAGGGTCGCGGGGCTCCTTCCTCTGCTCCTGGAACCCCCGCATCCATTAAGGGCAGAGCAAGTAGGAGTGGAAATGTGTATATATGTATATGTTATATGTAGAGCCTGAGAGACAGAGAGAGAGAGAGAGGGAGAGACAGAGAGAGAGAGAGGGAAAGACAGAGAGAGAGAGGGAAAGACAGAGAGAGAGAGGGAGAGAGAGTTTGGAGAGCTAAGTATACACATACCATACCATACCATACCATACCATATTTTACAGCAAGAATACATACATACATACATGCATACCTAAGTGCGTACATACATACATAGATGTACATGCGCACATATGCACGGATGCACTCATGCATACAGATGCACACGCAGGCCTTCAACGCCGTTGAGATGCAGCAGGGCGGAAATGAGATAAGCATTCCGGAAAACTGGCATACTGCGCCGGGAAAGTACTTGCTGCATAGGAAGCCTTGCATCTTGTCATGCTACAGTAGCCCCTGTTCCATGGTGACAATATGCTGCACCATACAAAATGGACAGAACCGTACAGTGCAGAGGAGGTCTTATGCCACAATATGTATATAACTCTGTAGGACATATTGGGGAAGGAGATAAGGCTGCAGGAAGAACACCCGCACTATACATTACTTCACGATGCAGCGGCACTAAACATGAGTGGTTGTATGCGACTTTCAAGCTCTGCAAAATCGCAGACTTGTAATCGCCATTATGCAACAGTCATACTATGCCATGCAGCAGTCTACAGCGGTTCGGATGCATACATACATATGTATACATGCATATATATATATATATATGTACATATATATATACATATATATACATATATATATATATATATGTCTGTGTGTGTGCGTGTGTATGTATATACATACATATATGTACAGCGTGCATACGCTGTATGTATATACATATATACATATATACATATATACATATATACATATATACATATATACATATATACATATATACATATATACATATATACATATATACATATATACATATATACATATATACATATATACATATATACATATATACATATATACATATATATATACATATATATACATATATATACATATATATATATATTTACATATACACATATACACATATACACATATACACATATACACATATACACATATACACATATACACATATATACATATACATCGACATAGACATAGACATATACGTTATGTGCTGTTTTGGAGCTAGAAAATGTTGCATGCGGGCTGTTTCGCCCCGTGTCTGAGCTATTGAGTTCCTCTGGGTGCGGAGTGCTCTATTCACAAGGGCGTCAGAAGGGAGAGGGAGAGGCTGGGGGCGACGGAAATAACGAGTCACAGAGCCAAAGAGACAGAGCGCACGAGCGAATCTCGACTATTCGGCCCTCCCGTCCCACTGCCAGCCTTCGAACCCGGAGGCTCCCTCCGTCTTGCTAGCGGCGAGGGTTCACGGGCCTGTTCCTGGCGAGGAAGGGCGCATGCGAGCTGGCACGAGCCAGATTTGCTCTCCAGTTGAACCCATGAAGAATGTCAGGACTGGAATAAGCAGCCAAAAATCCTGCAAACACAATGCCGTCTGCAACTGGGTGAGGGATCAAAAAAAAATTAAATAAGGATCAAGAAAAAATTGAATGGAAAGATAAAAAAAAACTAAAATAAGGATCAAAAAAAATTAAATCAATCAAAATACAGCAATTCCTGGGGCAGAGGCATCAAAAAAAATTAAATAAGGATCAAAAAAAATTAAATCACTTAAAATACAGCAATTCCTAAATTTTTCCAAGGGAAAACACTGTTTTCCTAGGGATTTTCTTCTGTTTCCTTAGGATCTGTTTGGTTTTCCTCTGGAAAACACGATATTCCTGCGGATTCTGTGGTATTTCCCTAAGTTTTCCTTGATTTTCGTAGGAAAAAAACTTGTTTCCTATTACCTATGGCGTTCGTGTCATTTCCAGAAGGACAACATATGGTTGTTCCTCGGGAAAATCAAATTTTCCTTACAATTTCACATTTAGGACGGATTTCCTGTTGTAGCTGTTTCTGGTTTTCCGCTTCATCATCTATCTTAAACACGCCCCTCATTTGGCGATTCTGGTTCAGCATGTATCTACAAGGGCGGAGACGCCCTCATTTGCTGGGTTTCAAAAAAAGGCATATGCTTCGAAGCAACCCTGCACGGCTTAAAACAGCGGGGGGGTTGGGGGGGGCGCAGCCCCCCCCATTTGCAGAGACAACGTTCACATGATGGGCTTCGAGAACACTCTTTGGATCAAGCTTGCACGTCTCGAAAAGCGCGGCGGCGGGTGTTTTGTTATTCCGTGCCTGTTCGTGTCTCTTCTTCCGTTAGCATTCTAACCTAATATATATATATATATATATATAAGATAGTAAACCAGAAGAACGACATAAGATGGTTCGACAACACAAAAATGGTGTGACATTTCCTGACATAACAGAACCTTGCTTCTTATAGCATATAATAGCATACTAAAAATACAACAATACAATATAACAGAAGATGACATAGAACAAAACAACATCTTAGTTCATAGCGTAGTACATTGTAACATAGCACAATACAGTGTGTATATTTACAACATAATATGTAGTATATTTTACAACATTAGGTTACATTATGTTATATTATGTTACGGTACATTACGATATTATGGTAAATTCGATTGGACTATGTAGTATCCTGTTGCTTGTATCTTTGTTTCTGTGATTCTTTCATATTCTTTCTCTTTCGTCTTTTCCAACTTTGCTTTTTTATTCTGGACTTCTTTCTTTCTTTCGCTCGTTCATTTCTTTTCTTTCTTTCTGTTGTTCTTTCTTTGTTCATCTCATACTCCCTTCCTTTCTTTCTTGCTTTCCTTTCTGGTTTGATTTATTTCGTTCTTTCTTTGGTTCGTTCTTTCTTTCGTTCTTGCTTTCGTTCTTTCTTTCGTTTTTGCTTTCGTTCTTTCGTTCTCTCTCTCGTTCTATCTTTCTTTCTTTCTGTTTTCCTTTCTTTCGTCCTCTTTAGATACAGCAATTTTTGAATTTTTCCAAGGGAAACACTGTTTTCATACGGATTCGTTTTCATTTCCTGAGGATTTGCTTGGTTTTTGCTCGGGAAAACACGATTGTCCTACGGATTCCGTGGTATTTCCTTAAGTTTCTTTCCTTAGTTCTTGCTTTCGTTCTTCCTCTTGTTTTTGCTTTCGTTCTTTCGTTCTCTCTCTCGTTCTTTCTTTCTTTGTGTCTTTCTTTCTTGCTTTTTGGATACAGCAATTCTTGAATTTTTCCAAGGGAAAACACTGTTTTCCTAGTGATTTTCTTTCGTTTCCTAAGGATTTGCTTGGTTTTTCCTAGGGAAAACATGATTTTCCTACGGATTCCGTTGTATTTCTCTAAGTTTTCCTTAGTTTTTCCTAGGAAAAAGCCTATTTTCCTATTACCTACGGCGTTCGTGTCATTTCTTCAGGTTTTCCGAAGGAAAACATACGTTACCTAGCTTATTCCTCGGGAAAATCAAATTTTCCTTACAATTTCGCATTTAGGACGGATTTCGTGGTGTAGTTGTTGCTAGTAGTGTTGTTGTTGGCGTTGTGGTTGTAGGTGTAGTATGTTGTAGTTTTAGTTGTAGTTGTAGGGATAAAAAACCCGAGGGTCAAACAAAAATCAAATACGGATCAAAAAATGAAATACGGCAATTGCAGCCATTCAGCATGCTTGTTCTGTCTTTCTTACTGTGTTGTTCTTATTCCCTTGTGTTCTTTTGGGTTTGCGTTCTTTATTTCGTTCGATCATGACTTGTCTGTCTTTAAACACGCCCCTCATTTGGCGATTCTGGTTCAGCACGTATCTACAAGGGCGGAGACGCCCTCATTTGCTGGGTTTCAAAAAAAGGCATATGCTTCAAAGCAACCCTGCACGGCTTAAAACAGCGGGGGGATTGGGGGGGGCGCAGCCCCCCCCATTTGCAGAGACAACGTTCACATGATGGGCTTCGAAAACACTCTTTGAATCAAGCTTGCACGTCTCGAAAAGCGCGGCGGCGGGTGTTTTGTTCTTCCGTGCCTGTTCGTGTCTCTTCTTCCGTTAGCATTCTAACCGAATATATATAACATAGTAAACCAGAAGAACGACATAAGATGGTTCGACAACACAAAAATGGTGTGACATTTTCTGACATAACAGAACCTTGCTTCTTATAGCATATAATAGCATACTAAAAATACAACAATACAATATAACAGAATTATTTCTCTATTTCTTGCATGGCTTTCTTTCTTTCTTTATTTCTTTCTTTCTTTCTTTCTTTTGTTCTTTCTTTCTTTCTGTCATTGTTTCTTTATTTCGTTATGTCGTTCGTTCTTTCGTTATTTCTTTCTTCCTTGCTTTCTTTCTTCCTTTCTTTCTTTCGTTCTTTCTTTCTTTCTTTCCTTCTCTCTCTCTCTCTCTGTCTTTCTTTCCTTCCTTTTTCCCTTCCTTTCGCGGATACCCGTTTAATTTTTTTTGATCCTTATTTAATTTTTTTTGATCCTTATTTAATTTTTTTTGATCCTTATTTAATTTTTTTTTAACCCCTATCCCTCTGCAACGATCACTTAGTCGAGTCTTAAGCTACTTCGAGGCCAGAAATTGTGCAAACCCCCAACGTGCCTCCGTGCGCCGACCTGGTCAGGGCGAAGGCAGTTTATAGTTCTCTCTTGCAAAGGAAATAGTAATCGCAATGGTAGCCGCCAAAAGACTTCAATACAGCATCCTGAAGAATCCTGCACGTTCGATCCCGAAGTCTGATATCCAGATCTTGGTATTGTTTGCTCACGTTCTTCTGCTGCGGCAGCACATGTTTGCTATCACATTTCCGGGCAAAGACCGAGATGTGGCTCTCGAGGAGTTCACGGGTACGGCGTAATAAAATGTCAGGTTATGTTCGGTCTGGGGTTTGGGCGTAGGCTACCAACAAATTCTTGGGGAGCCCAAAGAAAATGCCTCGTTGAGTCTGGTTTTTTCCTGCAGAATCGCATGCCCGCACTTTCTCCGGACAATTCTGTCAAACCTTCCAAGCCCTTCCTCGGGCAGCTTACCAAAAGCCTCATCCCCAAACCTTTAACCCCAAACCCTGAGGCCTGCACTGGTCTAAACCTCGGAAGCGCCCGGGCCTCTGTGCTCCTCCGGCACCTTGGCTGCTGCCTCAGCAAGCCCCATCCGTGGATAAATGGGGCTTCAGTTGGTTTCGGAAACTGGGTCTTTCCATATTCTGGCTGATCGCAACTCTCAAAGGCGTCTGAAATGACCCTGGGAAGGCACCACCAAGAAGCCGTCATTTCGGGTCGCGCTCGCCGAGGCAGCGGGGGCGCCGGCGGCTGTGTGGCTGGCACCTTCTTTCAAACTCTAGCAAGCCTGGCTCCTTGAAACCGAACAGCAGGATGCAGTGCACAAGGCAAGCAAAGGTTCCCATTCGAGGCGCAACCGCCGCCTTCGATGCCTTAGCTTCATGCAGCCCAAGCCTGTGGGTTCTATCATTGTTATCACCGCAACCGTAATAATAACATTACAGGACAGGACGGAGGAGCAGGATAAGCTTACTAGCAGCAGCTGCGGAGCAGCTGCCACGGCAGCAGTGGTCGTGACAACAACAGCAGCAGCTGATAGCAGTGGCAGTGGCAGCGGCAGTGGCAGCGGCAGTGGCAGTGGCGGCGGTAGTCACAGTGGTAGTCGTCGTCTTATACGAATCATAATCGAATGATTATGAAACCAAGTAACAGTACTAGTAGCAGTACTCGTACTCGCCGTCGCTGTAGCAGCAGCAGGAGCATGAGCACAAGTACTAGTTCTAGCACTAATTCTAGTAATTAGTAGTCGTAGTAGTAGTAGTAGTAGCAGCAGCGTGTGCGGGGAAAAGAGGTCCAACATCCGACGAAGAAGTTTCAGTCAATCTTGCTAATCTTGGTGAAGTAGGGCAAAATTGCAGGCAATCTTGCTTCGCACAGAAGGACGGGGCAGGATTTCACGGTACAATCTTGCCAATCTTGCTCTAGTATTACCGGTGACGGTCGCGGACCACAATCGAGAAATCTTGCAATCTTGCACTGCTTGGACCACTTGTACCGCTTGCGCCACTGGAACCAATTGGGCCACTTGCAGCATTTCTCTTCCGTGAAATGGTGCAAGTGGCGCAAGTGGCTCAAGTGCCGCAAACGGTTCAAGTGGTGCAAGTGGTCCAAGTAATCCAAGTGGTGCAAGGATGCAAGATTTCGAGGTTGGCCCCTCCCCCCCATCGTGCACACCTGCAAAATTGCAAAATGAGCAAACTTAACCGCAATCTTGCCCACCCAAACCGGCAAGCAAGACAACAAGATTAGCACATTCTTGGCTCACTGGCGACCCCCCAAGATTGGCAAGACTTGCAAGATTGGCAGGATTTGCAAGACTCTCAAAATGGACAAATTTTGGTCCCAAACAGCACGCTTCGTTTCCAGGCATTATGTGGTGGTGGTGAGAGTAGTAGCCAGCCGCGCCTGTTTTGGGCATTTTGCTAGAGTGCCGAGGGGGGGTGGGGTGGGGGGGGCTAATAACGACATGGTTGACCGCAAGCAGTAATGCAGTAGCGCCGGTAGCAGTAGCAGTAGTAGGATGCTTGTGACAACTTTTCTTGCTCCACATCCTTGTGCAGCATGTTGTACAAAGAGCAAAAAATGCTGTAAATACCCGTGTTTTGGGCAGACCATCTTCATCATCATCTTCATAACCATCATCCTCGCCATCTTTAACATCATCGTTAACCTGATCATCTTCTCATCATCCTCATAACTATCATCCTTATCATCATCCTCATAAGCCCAAGCAGGTAGTTCGTTTGAAGTTGGCTTAACTACAATCTCTAAAAACTACTAAAAACCATCATTTTACACACTCGACCACTCGAAACTACCAGACGCCAGTAGGCGCGGAACCCTAGTAGTAGTAGTTGTAGTAGTAGTAGTAGTAGTAGTAGTAGTAGTAGTAATGGTAGTAGTATAGTAGCAGTAGTAGTAGTAGTAGTACTACTACTACTACTACTACCACTACTACTATTAGTACTAGTACTAGTACTAGTACTAGTACTAGTACTAGTACTAGTACTAGTACTAGTACTAGTACTAGTAGTGGTAGTGGTAGTGGTAGTAGTGGTAGAAGTAGTAGTAGAAGCCGCAGCAGCAGCAGTAGTAGTAGTAAAACTAGTACCAGTACTAGTACTACCACTACCACTACCACTAGTAGCGGTAGTGGTAGTGGTAGTTGTAGTGGTGGCAGCAGTAATTAGTAGTCGTAGTAGTCGTCGTCGTCGCAGGAGTAATAGTAGTCGCAGTAGTAGCAGCAGTAGTAGCGGTAGCATTGGTAATCGTAGAATTAAAGTTATCATAATCGTAATCATAATCGCAGTCGAAATCCTAATCGTACTACAGTAGTTGAAGTAATAGCTATAGTAATCCTAGGACTAGGAGTACTAGTAGGCACTGGTACAGGTATTGGTACTAGTACTGTTATTAGTACTCGTGCTGGTACGAGTACCAGTACTCGTGCTGGTACTGGTACTAGTCGTGGCTAGTTACTACCAGTATCAAAAGCAATGGCAATGTCAATGGTAATAGCAGTAGTAATAGTAGTTGCAATGGCAATCGTGATAATAGTAATCGCTCGTTACAGCAGCAGCAGCAGCAGCAGTAGTTGTAGTGTCGTCATTGTGGTGGTGGGTAGCGATGGGGCTGTCGGTGGCTGTGGCGTTGGCAGTGGCGTTGGCGGCGGTGGTGGTGGTGGTGGTGGTGGCCGGGGTGGTGGTGGCGGTGGTGGTAGGCAGCAGCAGGAGTGGCAGCAGCAGCAGTAGTTGTGGTAGCAGCAGTAGTAGTTTTTGTCGCCCACATGGCACGACCATGGCAGCTCGGCAGGGTCTCAGGCAACAACTGGAAATGAGAGGAATGTGGAGCATCGTCGTGGTGGTGGTGATGGTAGTAGTCGTGGTGGTGGTGGAGGGGGTACAGTAGTAGTGGTAATAGTAACTTTTTGTCACCGCAACAACCAAAGTAGTGGCTTCTGACAGAGTAACATCAGCAGTAAAAAATAACCGGAATCGCGATAAGAGGAGTAATGAGCAAAAGCAACTGTATCTGCAACTGGACTAGTAATCGCTATAGCAACGGCAATTACAACAGCAATGGTCACAGTAACGGGTCTACTGCTTCTAGTAGCAGTGGTAACCGTAATGGTAATAATGACAATGTTAATGATAGCAAACGCGATAGCAGTAGCAATAGAAATAGCAATAACAATAGCCGTAGTAGTACTAGTAACAACAACAAAAAGAAGAATAGCGCAGCAGTTGTAACAGTCATGGTAATAGAAATGCTAATAACAGTCAATATGATAGCAATCAGCAAGAAATAAGCAACCAGCAATGAGTGATACGTAACAAGTGATAGAAATGGGAGGGGAAAGAAAAGTAGGAATAGTGACAGGGATAGGAATGGGAATAGCAACAGCAACAGGAATAGCGCCAGCAAGAGTTCTTCATGTTAGCCATAAGGACAGTACTCACAATAATGGCCACAGCAGTTCTGAATGTAATTATGGTGGTAGTCGTAGCAATAGCAGTAGAAGCCACAGATGCAGTAGTTGTCCCAGTACCAGTAGCGGTAGCAGTAGCAGTAGTGGTAGCAGCAGCAGTCAGAGCAGCGGTCGCAGTCGCAGTCGCAGTCGCAGGGTCGCAGCAGCAGTAGTAGTAAGGCTAGGGGTAGGATAGGAGTAGCAGTAGCAGTACGAGCAGTAGAAATAGGAGTAGGAGGAGGAGTAGGTGGAATAGGAGCAGGAGTGGGAGTGGGAGCAGGAGCAGCAGTAGCTGCAAGGGGAAGGAGTAGGAGCAGTAGGAGGAGGAGGAGGAGGACGAGGAGCAGCAGCAGCGGCACGGCGTCGTCGTGGTAGTGGCAGTGGCAACTGCAGCCCGAGATGCAGACAGCAAGGCATCGATGGCTGCGTCATCAAATCCCAGGTTCGGTGCCCCGCCCTCCTGCACAGGAATGGGGGCTCGAGCTTTGGTGTCCTAGCCGCTGTAAACCTCAAGGAGACGATGGCAGTATACTTTTGTTTCACCAGCAAATGCCAGTATACCCATTGCTGAAAGACGAAAGTCGAGACATTCACGCCAGCAGTGCAGTAGTAATACTACCAACGTCAACAATTCAATATGATCCCTGAGCATGCACGAGGGCTCTCAAACGATGCAAGCAGGGCTTCGGGCGCTTTGTCGGGCACAGGGTGCACGAACAGTCTTGTGAACCCCAAACCTGACACTCTTTGCCCAAGCCTCCAGGACCCGTCGGGGAAGGGGCGGCGGCGGTGGCAGCGAGGGGACTGGGCCAGAAAGCGGAAGTTGTTTCCCTGTGCAGCATACTATTGCTACCCAGACTTTGTGCTGTTATTCCATCTGTTGCTGGTCGTGCTGGGGCATTGTCTGGGATTGCTGTTCGTAGCTGTTGTGTCTTGCACTACTCTATGCTCTTCCACACAGATACTTTTATGAGGTACGACACATCGTAACATGTTCTTTCTATGAGAAAATATAGTTATATATAGATATTTGCGTACATGTGTATATATATATATATGCACGCACATACATATATGTGCATATATCTGCGTATGTGTGCGCCTGTCCCTGTCTGTGTGTGTGTGAGCGCGTGTGTATATATATATATATATATATATATATGCACATGCGTATGTATGTGTATGTATATATATATATACATATATACATATATACATACCGACAGACAGATACCCATATGTATTACAACCAATTTATGTATTAATACCATATTCCGGAAACCGAGAACCGCTAGGCAGGGCAAGATGGCGCGTCATCTTGATCGTCTTGACCGGGGCGCGGGCTAAGACGACGCACCATCTTGGTCATCCTGGGCACTACGACCGGGCGCCACTTGCACCATCTCCGCAAGTGGCACCCGGTCGGGGTGACCAAGCTGACCAAGATGACGCATCATCTTGCCCCTCGCGTGAAGATGCCATCATCTTGCCCCCCTCGAATTCGCACGCCTTACCAAGATGATCAAAATGACAAATGTCGATCAGCACTTTTCGATCCCCGGCATAATCTACTAGCATGCATGCATTTAGTTCGTGAACTTGGTCTCTTGAACATCGTTTCGTAGCACCAGTTGTCCCTAGCAGATTCTACTCCTCGCATTCATGCATAAAACATGATGAATAAACTGGAAAATACGACACCCTAGCATGTTCTAGATATTGTGATACCCGAATTCATCCTGCGATTTCGTACAGGATGCGACCATGGGCAAAACAATATCAAACAATACTGAGTAACACATGTGCCTGGTGAGCTGTCTGCCATGCCGTACCGCAGCACACTACCATAGTCATCTGCGCGTCGCCATACATAGCCCTCTAAACACATACAGTGACAAATCACGAGATTTAGCACCATGCCCAAAAGTCAAAGTTGAAAAAGTGCAACTTGTAATTGATTCGAGCGCACTACAAGTTTTCACCAGATGGTCACGTATTTTCAACGGGTTAGGCAATCAACTCACAGTGCGGATATCGCAAGGCCACTGCTATTCAAGGTCGGATGAGCCAGCAGAAGCAGAACCGTTCTCCTGAACTGGTCAAACAGATGTGATCGCAGCAATCGCGCTGCCTCATCCTTGAATGCTCCCTGAAGCCTGTTTCCAAACCCTAACCAAACCCAAAGTACTCGAACCTTGAACCCAAAAGTGCATGTCAGGTACCTTTGCACATGTCAAACGGGCTCCTTGTGTGTAACTAGGAGTTCCACAAGGAACCCGGAGACCCTGAACACCCAAAACAACCCAAATTAAGGAATATACCTCGAATTATAGGGGCCCTTAATATTATGATTTAAGGTATATTCCTGAATTAAGGGGTATTGGGTTCTCTGAACAAATATGATGTTTCCAGTTATTCGGGCCTCCCGAGTAGCCCTAGTACATCCTAAACACCTAAACCCTGTTTCCCAGGGACACCAACGCACTTATCCCGAACCCTGCGGGCCGGCAAGTTAGAATCTTAAGGTCTTCAAACTTGAAACTGAGCTCATTACCCTTCCACAGACTTGTGCAGTTCCTTCTTTTGCAACTGGTCACATTTCCCTCAAGCCCTTTGTTCAACGAGGTCTCTCTGAAGTGCCTCCCGATGAGCCAGATCTACAAACATGTCCCTCTCTCTCTTCTTCCGCCGGGCATGAGGGGTTGGTTAGACCCCCCGGCCACTAGGGCCCCCCCATATTTTGTGGGGACTTCGAAGGAGTGTGAGAATGTTTGACTGTGTTTTGTTTTCTTTTCCCCCGGTTGATCATTGTTTCAGGTAAACACCGATATCGCATACTTGTGAGTTCGACTTCACTACATGATCCCCCGGGGTTCTCCCTCTCTCTCTCTCTCTCTCTCTCTCTCTCTCTCCCAGGCATTCCAAACGTCAAGCCCGGCTAGCATGCCCCTACTTGCTTGCAAGGACTCCTGGTAGTTTCCCCTTTTTTTTACATCTGGACTAACTATCCCCTGAACCCTAAACCCTGAACTGCCTGGTTCCGGCACAGGCGGGGCAGGGGTGGCGGGCGTAGCAGCGCGGGAGGCCCTCCACTGCTGGAGCTCCAGCACACCTCAGGAAACAGTTTAGGGTTCCTTTAAAGGGCTCCCTAAAGGGATCTGTAGGGGTTCCTTAAAGGGATCTATAGGGTTGAGGGTCTACTTGGAGGATCATGGGACTTAGTAACTAGGGTTATAAGTGCCCTAATTGGGGTTATAAGTACTTATAAGTATAGTTACTTTATTTATAACCCCACTTACTAAGCCTCAGGAATCGAAGGGGTACCGTACCGTAAGGATACTACAAAGGGCACGAGAAAGGGTACGATAAGGGGGACTGTTATAAAGGGTACTATACGAGTCGAAGGGGTACCGTACCATACCGTAAGGATACTACAAAGGGTACGATAAGGGGGCTACAAAGGGTACTATAAAGGCCCGATAAGAGTCGAAGGGGTACTGCAAGGATACGACAAAGAGTACATAAAGGGTACTGTGAAGGGTACTATAAGGGGTGGTGTAAGGAAGACTATGAAGGGTACTATAGTTACTATAAAGGGTACGATAGCGACCAGATGCGACCAGAAAGGGTACAATAAGGGTATACGAGTCTTTTCCCTCCTACCTAGGCTATACGAGTTTGGGTTTTGGAATCTTTCTCTCTCCGCTGCCGTAGGCGTCGGCTTTGGGATTCGGGGTTTGGGTGCTCACACTCGGGCAGGTGCCAGGGTGTGTAGGGCTTTAGGGCAGAAAGGTGTAGTGGGGGTGGAGCGACTGTCTAGAGTGGTTCCGGGCTCAACAGCTGACTCAAAAGTTGACGCCTAAGCTGTCTGCCGGTTTTTTGGAATCTAGACAAGCAGTCAGAATCAGGCATTATGATCCAAAAAGCAGCCACCGAAGCCTCTGATTTGTATTCCGACTTCGAGAGGCAGATTTCCACAATGTAACGCCGAAGAGAGGAAACAAAGCCCAGGCAGAAACCTACATGGGCATGGCGGAATTCTTGTGCAACACGGTCCGGAAGTTCGATCCAACCGTGGAAGAACTGTCAACAGATTCCAGGTGCCAGTAACAATCTCAGGGCAAAGTGTTCTGCCTTGCCACCTCCTCTTGTCAGGTAAGGCACCGATGGGCTCGCCATCCAGGTCATCATCAGCGCTGCCTTGAAACGGTGCTGGGCTCTCGCCTCAGGTTTGACAGGACTCAGGATTCGCGCATCCACAGGGCAGCTTGAACACTTGTTCTTCTGTGCTCCCCTGTCGCCCCCCAGTGCTCGGCCCCTCTGACGCCCGGGCTGATGGGAGCTGGCTCGGGCAGGGCCCCTTCCGCGCAGGACCAGGGAGTCATCGCTGCAAAAAGCGCACCACCCACAGATGCTGGCTGGTTCCTCCGTCCAAAGTCATATAGCGACCGGCACTAACTCTCTACCCCCACAGGATTACGCATGGCGTGTGGCTTGATATTGATATTGACCTCCTTTGACCGAAAAATACATCGCGAAGATTCCTGAGCACCCCAAAAAGCGGAGTCTGGATAGGCGTGCCGTCTATGTCGTCCATCACCTCCTTCGTCGGCTCGCGCTCCGATACGTCGGTCGTCTGGGCTCTGCTCGGATCCAAAGCTCTGGCAGACCAATAGACTTCAAAGCACCGCAGTCTTTGCAGCAATGTCGACTTCGAAGGTGGAAGTTGGTCGGTTCCGCTGTGTGTCCAAAGGCCTCTGTTTCTACAACGTCGCTCCAGTGCCAAGGGATCCAGTGACGCGTAGGCCTCCAGTTTCCTCGCGGCGGCCAAAAACAGAAATCATGCCCCATGCCCCCCTTTACCGCCTTACGAGGGCTCTGCTCTGCTTGGACTTCCGTGGACTACGCGTGAAGTCTGAGCCGGGCGGCATTCGCAGCTCCTTGCTTTGCGGCTCCATCGCCAAGTCAGTTCCCAGAGCACCCGCAAAGGCGGCGGCCTCGAGACCTCAATCGCTGGCGCTTGAGGCAAGGGAAACGCGCACCGTGCCGGCCGCTGGAGGCTGGGCTACGGAATGCAACTAGGCGGATACCATCCAGGTAGATGGTGGGGTAGAACTCCGCATCACGCCAAGCCTCTGCAGAGAGCCCAACTCACACACGACCGGCACGACACTTCCGACACCCGCCACTGCCTGGAGCAGCTTCTTGATGCGAGCTTCCTCCAGACTCCTCGCCGCGCGCGGCAGCGCCAGGAGGCCCAGGTAGAAGCGATGGAAGACACGGGGCAGAAGATCCTCTGAGGAATGGAAGCTCGGGGCAATCCGAGCTGCGGCTCTAGGGGATCTGGGGTCAGGAAGGGATGAAGCGAACTGGCCGTGAAGGAAGTTGCTGAGGTGACTTCTGGGATTCTGGGACCTCAAACAAAGCCCGCCGTAGTACGGGCATGCGCGTTCACAGGCCTGCAGTTGATCTTCGCAAATTGGTGGTCACGTGGTGCATCTCTCTTCATGTAAAACATGAACGACATGGACACGACATGACACGACATACTTTCACATTGCTATCTTCAGCCTGCACAGTGCAGGCGCGGAGCACAGCAAAACCTGTCAAGCCCCTTCGGGATCTCCTCGAAAGCGGCACGGTACGCATTGGCCCCAGGACACCGATGCGCATAGGCCGTGTTGTGCAAGACATCGGACACGCCTCGGAGCCAGGTCACCCATAGCAATACTAATACTAATAGCAATTGTAATACGGTGTAAAATCATATAATATATTAAATTAAAAGATATGAAAATATATATGTGTATATATGTAGAAAGATATAGATATAGATATGTATAGGTGCTTCTGTGCGATTTTCGCTTCGCCATCGTAGTGGCGCTGGGGGCTGCGGTGAAGTAGGAAGAGGAGCAGACTGCTGCTGCTAGTACCACGCTCTCCACGACAACGACGGCCAATACACTTCTGCAAGTGCTGTGGTGTCTTCTACCCTTCAACTAGCACGCGACGGAAACATATTGCGGGCACGCTCCTACTGCAATACCAATACTCCTACGTACCGCGGTTTGGCTGCTGCTCTGAGGGTTTATCATTTTGCGCACGTCTTGCATCCAAGCCACAGAAAAGGCACGCCGTGTCCTCGACTGAGGGCACATGCAAGCGGTTTCGGCCAGCACGGATGGGCCCCTAAACCCTGAACCGAGTCAGGGTTGTCGAAGAATGTCGGAGAGGTAGGGAGCATGGCGGGGCTTCCAAACGTCTGGCTTAAAGCGCTTTGCCCATTGGGTCCACGGATGCACCGCTGACAGCACCGTTTCTTCTAAAAGAACAACTAAAACGATACGAACCTAAGACATGCCCTGAGAATCATCCCAAATATCTGTGGAAAACCATGGCATCCCAGAGTTCTTCCACTCCTACTTTTCGGCTGTCTCTTGCACCGGCTGTAAAGCTTCGTGCTTGAATTAACAACCCCCATCCAAAACTGAGAAGCCTCCAGCGAAACATCTTGAGCTACTCAAACTTCTACCTCAGCAAAGCCAGCTTGTGGCGACGAACAGGAACTGAGACGACCATACTAGAAGCCCAAAAGCTGGAAACTCCATAGCCTCGATCCTTAAGAGTCATGTATAGGGAATCCCTTTGGCCTCAATCCGGTTTCCAACTAAAGGGGGTTTGCTGTATCTCCCATACGAGGTCCATTGCACCCTCAGCCTCAGGTCCGAACCGAAGATGCCACGACCAGGCCGAGCGGCGTGGGGGCCAAGGGGGCCACGGGCCTGCAGACACCTCGCGCATTCGCATATCTTTTCCCTCTCGCATGGCTGGCAACAATGTCCACAAGCGAAGAACATTCGCACATCGGAGGTAGGGTTTCGGCGCTCACATTCGGACAATCCAGGCGAGGCATATGGTTCGGAGGTCTACTGAGCGAAACGACACTTTCGGGAGCTCACAATCTAGGGTTTGGGGTGTGGGGGTTAAGGTTTAGGGTGTAGGGTTTTGCATGAAGTGCAATTACACAACAACCACTGGTGCCGGCGATGAAATGCGGGTCCTTCGTGCTTAGCACCGCACACCTCTGCAACAACAATACATGACCGGGGGACGACAGGGAGTTCACAAACTCGCGATGGAATGCCTTGGTGTTGGAAAAGGTCCAAACCCCGAGACTGCGAGAAGTGTTGGCTACATTGCCACAACAGACCCGCAGAAGAACCATACAAAGACTGCTTGTGCCGGGCAATGACTCAGTGCGGTGTTCACGCATTGGTACATCCGTGCACTACAAGCACGAGGTATGCGGGACAGCGAAGCACATCTTTTACTAACCAGACTGCTCTGCGTAGTCTTATACGCCCACGCTTGGCAGGGTTGTGGGTCGGTTGTGGGGGTTTTGGTACCATCGGGATTACTAAGACTGGCAATAGCTACAACCCGCAGCACTTGTTGCAACGATGCGGTTCGTGGTTGCACAGCGCCTACCGGCAGAAGATGCCTGTTGAATGCCACTAGCTGAAAACTAACACACACTAGCTGTTCGCATTACCGACAAAGATGCAGGATGCTGCGTGGAAAGAAGCACCTTGTGCTGGGTGGTTGCTGTGCAACTACTACTGTACCTAGCTCGAACAGAAAATCAGAACCAGGATAATGCTGATGCTTGAAAGAGAGACAGATTCAGAGCTAGCCCTTGCAGGAGCATCGGACTCCCCAGTCGCACAGAGGCCCTCGCGAAGCACGCTCTTCACTCAGCATTTCTTTGACAATCCTCATCCTGTCCACAGCTTTTTCAAACACCGGAATCTTGTTGGAGATAGTTGGGGGACCCTAAACCAAACCCCCGACCCCAAAACCTCTAAGATAGCTGGCACCCTGCACCCCGAACACCTCAAACCCCATCTCTCCCCTCCCCTCTCCTCCCCTCCCAAAAACCCCCATGCCGCCGGTTGTCCCCTATTGATCCCTTAAAGGAGCCCTTATAGCACCTTGTTCTTTCAAAGGAACCGTAAACCCCTAACCCCTCAGCCCCCCCCTGCCTCCCCACCCCTATAGATCCCTTAAAGGAGCCCTTATAAGCCCAGAAAGCCCATTATCCCTTAATCCGCCGAGGCCACAGGCCCAGGCGTCTTGGGGGTTACCTCAGGTTCCCTCCACCTAATCCTCCTCCCTGCAGTCCGAAAGTTTGGAGACACCCTGTTTTTGCGCTGGTTTGTCCAGAGCCGAGGCGGGCGGCGTAGCGTTAAAATTAAGGAATATACCTTAAATTAGAATAGGATCCCTAACAGCAAATCAAGGTATATTCCTTAATTAAAGGGGTATTGGGCTCTCTGGGCGCCGCCAAGCCCTCACCCCCTGTGCCTGGAGACCAGATGCGGCGCTAGGCTCGAGGCCTGGGCTGCATGCTCCAGGCCTCAAAGTGCGTACAGAAAGGGCCTTACTGAGAAGAGTGTTCTTTTTAAAGGGGGTTCTAAAAAGAGATCCAAAAGGGTTCCTATCATAAGGGGTAGTACGAGGGTTTAGTTTGGGACCTTCATAAGTAGGATGGGGTCTTGGGGCCCAGTATACTACAGTTACAAGAAGGAACCCCCCAATATAGTATAGGTACTAATTGAGGCCTCCATATTAGTATGCTGGCCCCCAGGCTGGTGGGGATAGGGGGGCCTTAATAGTTGAATAGGGTTCCTCACAGAGGCTCCTGTAAAGGGGTCGATACCCGTTCTTGTCGGCATTTATTACACAGGGGCCTGAGAAGATAGAATAGGCTTTTGGGGGGGTATAATCATTTGAGATAGGCGCATTTAGAAACCCAGTGGAATAGTGTGACCAACTGTTCAAGCTTCTGGCGCTGCGTGTGCAAGACTACGGACTTGTCTACGGCAGGGCCTAGCCCAGAGAGCCCAATACCCCTAATTTAAGGAATATACCTGAATTCATATCAGGGATCCTATTATAATTTAAGGTATATTACTATACTTAATTAAGGGATATTGGGTCGAGTTCAGGGTGGACGCTTTCTTAGGCTCCTCGGAACTTCGAAGCCCAGCTGCAGAAGACCATCACCTCTGCCACAGAGCTCCTCCGAAGGGAGGCGGCCTCTCTCCAGCGCAGCACTTCGGGGCTCTTCAAGGGACTCCCAGAGCTTAGTACATTTACCTCGAACGCCTTTTACGCTCTCGCATGTCCGAGTCTTTTAGGGTTTAGGGCCTAGGGCATGATCCAGGGGAGAGCCGTTTAGGGAGAAAACCTTGAATATCCTTGGGCCTCCTAAAGGAGCCGAGCTTCTCGCATGACTGGTGCGGTCCATGCGCTACCGTTCTTCCTCGAAGTATGGGTCTTGCTCTCATTGGAGAACTGCCACTGGCACGAGGGCTGGTTCGATCACCGTGACTCGTAGCATGTATACTATGCTGCCGGTTCTACTGCTGCTCCTGCTGGTGCCGCCAGGCCTTCCATGCGAACTTCTCAACCAATGTCTGTTGAAACTCTGCACCACCGAAAAAGTCCGCTACCTTTATCAAACAAACACCACCGAAAACTGATCTGGATCTTAACCTGAACCTTCTTAAGCCTACATCCTATCTTCGACCGCCAGTATGAGAACCCTAACCGGGATCCTCTGTAGAAATCTACGCTGTTGAAGCCTGACCGCACCAGACCTAGATGCTGCCCGTTTTGTGACACATGCAGCCACTACCACTACTACCACTGCTGCTCCTCCTACTCTCACATGACTACAACTAAATGGTCCCAAAACCCTCCTAGCCCCCCCAACTTCCCCCCATCCCCCCCCACTTCCTCCGAAACCCGTTTGAAGCCATCTACAACTGTAACCCTATAAAACTTCGACGCAACGCCACAAAGCGTTGGAAAGCCCCCGAAACCACCTCGGTGGTTGTCAAAATTGTCGTCCGTTTTGGGCACCTCAAATATTAGGTGCCGTACTATGATAGGCCATCATTTTGACAACCACCCACTTATGGAACCCCCGCGCAACACCGAGGCACCGCATCCAGAAGCGGATCGAGCTCGCAGCAAGGGCCTTTCAAAGGTCTCGACTAGAAGGGGCCCCCACCCAAATAGTGACTACAAGGATTATATTAGGGCCCTATTATAATTCCTATTATACCACAATTACAGGGTGGTGGCCCCTTCTAAGGTATGGAGCTGAATTGAGGAAACCGCGAAGCCTAGACTGTAGGTTTTGAAGGTTTTAGGTTTCAGAAGTGCTTAACTAGGGTTTTGAGGGTTTAGGGCTGTAGGGGTGAATTAAGCGAATGTTTCCGGCGAACAGGTTCTATAGTATGAAGTACAGCTCGGGGTTTAGGAGTTTGGGGCTCCTGCGCCGCTAGATCTTCGGGCCCACATTGCAGCGTTTCAGTGCAGCAACTGCCCAACCTGGCGTGACCACGGCGGGAAGCCACTCAGCGGGCCTCGGTGGCGGATCCGGGCTTCTTTCCCACCGCTTGGAGGATCAAGCAGACTTAGCAAGTGGGGTTATAATTCAGGTACTTATAACCTTACTTACTAAGTCCCATGATCCTCCAAGCAGTGTTTAGAAGGGGCCTTGTTCGAAGCTGTTTGCAGGACTCCAAAACAAATCACCAATGGGTTTAGAAAGGCCGTGCCAAGGGGATTAGAGTTTGTGTGTTGCTTGGGAAAAATGGCCAGGCCACACGGGGAGCAGAAGGCAAGCAATATAAGGCCATAAAGAACTCTCAGGAATACAGTTGGAAATTCTTCAAGCGTCTATACAAACAGTTGACGGGCTTCTTACCGCGACGAGACAGGCAGCTTACTCAGCTTACAACGATCCTTGAGTTTGGACTTGAGCACTCACACATGGGGCGACACTTGCTACTTGAAGGATCATAGGACTTTGTAAGTGGGGTTATAAATAAGGCAACTATACCTATACCTACTTGTAACCCCAACTAAGGTACTTGTAACCTTACTTACTAAGTCCCATGATCCTCCAAGTAGACCCTAAACCCTAAACCCTACAGATCCCTTTAAGGAGCCCTTTAAGGGAACCCTTATAGAAACCGGCGCTCACACTCGGAGAATCCAGGCGAGGCATGTGGTTCGAAGTCTGACAAACGTAGGGTTTAGGGTTGTGGGCGCAATCACAATAGAGCACCTTGCTACTCAAACCGCCGATGCTCCTCCAAGCCCAACTCCAGTCACCCTTGACCTGATCGAGAAATCATGGCTATAAGTACACCTTCCCATTGCCATTCTGACCTTCTCATGTTCAATCTACTTGGACATGGTGAAATGTCAGGCCCAAAACCGAGTGTGCCATAGCCCAGTAGCAGTCCCACCGGCTCGGTTGGCGGCACCTGCGGACGTTTTGACCCTCGCTTGGGGGCGTTGCGCTGTACGCCCCAACTCTGGCAGCTCAAGCAAGCCAAGTGAGGCGAAGCGAAGCCTCACCCTAAACCCCAACCCTGCTCATGTTCGTAAATAATATCCTCTTAATTCAGCCCAAAAAGGGAAAAACAGAAGATGTCCCAAAACGCCTACCCAGATATGGAAAAGCTATACTAAGGACCCTAAGAAATGATCCCAGAGAACCCAATACCCCTTAATTAAGGAATATACCTTAAATCATAATAATAAGGCCTCTATAATTTGAGGTATATTCCTCCATTAAGGGGTATTGGGTTCCCTGGGGTCATAGTGTCACGAGCATCGAGTCTCTTTCTTTTCCGCGGTGTCAGCTCCCCATGCCACCGGTTTGCGTCGGGACAGGCCCCAATCGGTTTAGGGTTTATAGGGTTTAAGGTTTAGGGTTTCGGGTTTAGGGTTCCTCACCTAGTCGGTACAGCCGTCATCGTGGCGATACGCATGATCAGAGTTATAAGAATCATAATGATAATTACGATAACCATAACGGCAGCCGTTACAAGACGAGCAAAATAGACACGATAAAAGCCATACTTATGGGAATAGCCATAGCAGTAGTAACTACTAGTAAGTTAGTAAGTTGCAAGTAGCCACTCCTAAATAGATATCATGTCGTAGCGAGGTTTTCGAACAGTCACAGTAACCATACGGAAGAGGAGGCTGCGGGGCCTGCGTTTTAGCAAGCCACTTTTTGCCTTCTGCGTGGCTGAGTACAGGAAGCAGGGCGACTGGTACAACAATGTAGTGAATTAAGACTCGCTACGGCTGGCAACCCGTTATGTTCAGTGGTTTTGTGTGTTTCGAGTGGTGGTGTGGGTTTCTGTAAAGTGAGCGTGACAATATTTAAAAAAGTCATAAGGAAAGAATTAGCGATAAAACCATAGTGATTGTAACCGTACTTGCTCATAGGTCGGAGTGGCAGTAGCAGCATAAGTTTCTCAATGATGGTAATACTTTTTGTAAGAGTCGGAGTAAGTGCAAAGTTACGAATAAGGGCACGGGTTGAAAACAAAACGAGCAACAAGCTTAAGTTCTGATTCCGGGTCTGGCCTGAGATCTGCCCCATGTCCAGCGAGAGCATATGGCGGCTGGTGGCGTCAGATATGACACTGAAAACTTACAAGCCGATGTGGGGTTCCTCCCACTAGACAAAGCTTGGGCTCTAGAGATGGCTAAGCCCTAGCTCGGCTAGGAAGATCAGGCGCCACCTTCCGCTGATGTCCCCCGGCTACTCACGCTCCTCGGAAGGAGGCCAGCTGCTGGGTGGAGTCCCGCTAGAAGCCACCGCCGACGGTGTCGCTCTTGTAGCTCCGGACCTGCATCACTTTACCGGCACGGATCAGGTGCTCCACGTCGCTGCGCTTGACAAGCATCTGAGTGCCAGGACGAAATCGAAGGGGTCCGCTTTCCAGGCTCTGGATGCCCTCCATGGTGGGATCAGCCTTCAAGACTCGCACCTTGACATGCAGCCCGTCGTTGGGCGCCTGCCCTGCATCGGCAGTGAGATCCAAGGGGAGCTTGCAGTCCGGCACGTAGCGCTTCATGTACTTGTCGAGGCTGTTGATGTAGTTCTTCAAGTACTGCTTTTCTGCCTCATGCAACTTCCCCAGCTTGTCGGGAGGCATCATGAGGCCGACCTGCCATCGCAGCTTCTCGATCGTCTCAGTACGATAGTTCAGGTAGCAAAGCACCATCCGCTTGTTGCGATGCATGAGCTCGTCAAAAAGGTACATGCCCGAGAGCACTTCATTCTCGTTCTGGTCGTCGGACTCCCTGGCCATCCTCTTCATCTCAGCGTTGTCCTCCCCAGCAACCAACCGAAACAGAATGCTAATGGGTGTTGCCTTTCGGGTTTAGGATTTAGGGTTTAAGGTTTAGGGCATATAGGATTTAGGGTTTGAGGGTATAGAGTATACAACGTTCAGCAGAAGTCTTTGACGATGACTAGACTATGAGACCCTTAAGAAGATCTCTTCCGGCATTTCATTGGAGATGCGTCCTGTCTGATCTCCTCGATGACCTTCTTGACGTCCTTCTCGTTGAACTGGGGAAGCCATCGGGAGCGCTTCAGGTCGTGGAGGAGGCTGATGGCCGTGTGCCCATGCAGCGTTGGAGCAGGCATGGCTGTACCCCGAGTCCTAAATCAAGTCCGCTCTGGATATACCAGTGCACCTCGTGAGCTGTGAACCTTGTGTTGCATCTCGAACTTACAGTCGGGTTTCTAGAAGTCCATGTCGCAGGAACTGCTGGAACTCACGGCACGGCTGCAGAGAGGCACAAAAAAAAGCTGGGGGCTGCTGCGGCTGCTGCGCGCCTACTGCACTAGCGTGCCTTATGCTAGGCCAGATACCTCGAGAACTGGGATCGAGGGCCTCCTCCGGCGGCATGTCGAAGAGCCTCCGCTTGCGCTGTGGCTTTGGCCTCAGCTCTTTGACGGCTGCTTGGAGGGATAATACAAGGGACTACATAATTCGAATGGGGTTTTGGGCCCATTGTACTACAGCTATAGTAAGGAACCCCCAAAATAGTATGAGTTATGAGTAATTAATAAGGGCCTCTATAGGTATTTGGCCTTCAGGGCCTTCTCGGTTTCAGATCGGAGTTGGAACTGGAGCCCTGGCGATGATAAGAAGCGAAGAAAACTGCAGTAGGGCTTTGGGACATGTTGTATTTGCTCTTATTGGGCTTAAGACTCAAGAGGATCTGACCTACTAATATGAGCTCCATAGACGAGTCATCGGCAGCCCCTTTTTTCCAGGCGTAAGGAACCTCGGCTAGGGCCAGGGTGATCAGGGTGATGCAGCTCCGAAAGGAAAACGACCCCCCCCCGCCCCCCGACACCTTTTCCTCACGCAGCCTCATTCCTTGCTGCAGCCTCACGTCAGAGCAGCTCGAGGACAGATGTAATGCACTCACCCGACTCAGCTGATGGGATAGCCGGGGGGTGCCTTACACTCTTCCGACGAGCTGTACTGCGTCTTGCACACAGCAGTAGACTCCTTGGAAAGCAAGGCCAACATCGGGGCGAGACTGCGCAGAGGCGTTCGGGGGGCCTGGTAGAGAACTGCGCTCCAGCCCCACATCGCTGTCTAACTGCATTCAAGCAGCAGCAAACGCCGGATCGCAATCTGCCGGGTTCTCGTTGGCACGAGTACACGTGCACCACCACTTGCTGACCTTCTGGCAGCATTCCTGAACAGTTGCGGAGACTTTCGTCAACTCTGACACTCTGAGCGGACTCTTCTTCGCGTCCTTACTCGAACCCCCACAGTCCCCAAACCCCAAGCCTTAACCCGCAAAAGGGCCCCTAGAAATGGTGGAAACTCCATGCCACCTCGAAGTCGGTGTCATCGTCGGTGGCCTTCATCAGCTCCTCGACAATCTTCTGGTCGGCCAAGGACAACTCGGAGAGGTGCTTCCTTTCCAAGCCGCCATGGAACAAGGTGATTTCTTCCAGCTAGAGGAGCGTTTATTTACAAGATTGCCAGCCCTGCCTTCACCCCGTTGAAGTTCGGGACGCAACACGAGCTCCATAGCTGCTGTAATGCGGTTTCATCGAAAAGGTTTATTATAAGACATAGACAGTTATCCTAATAGCAAGAACCAGAATAAAAGTCAGAATCACAATCATGATCATCACCATCGCCATCATAAAAATAAGACTGCTCGTGACGACTAAAGGTCGAAAGTGGCCATAACAAACAAGACTAATTACCACAAGGTGTGATAGGAGTGATAAGAGACTCTACAAGTCGGGAAGCTTGGGCTTGGCATGGTCGTGCTCACGGACGGCGCCACTCTGCAGAAGACCCGCGCTGCGCGAGCCCTCCGGAGATTCGCAAGCACCCTCCTGCGAAGTTGCAGCACTCACCTCAGATGGTTTTGGGTTTACGCTCTCGCTCGGGGTCTTCGGGTTGTATCACAGGGTTGCGCGAACAGATTCGAAGCACATGAAGCTGACCGCAATATGAGCAGCCAAGGTGCTGCGAGGCAGACGGCAAAGGCAAGCTTGACAAGCATGGCGCTCAGCCAGGAGCGGGCGGTTTGAAACGGGCTAAAAGTCGAGCTCAAAAGTGCTTCAGACAAACACGGAAATGCTAATGGGATGTTGGGCCCTCACAAAGCGCTAGGCTCCGTGTGCTTGGATGCCACGCGCTGCTGCATCATCTGTCAGAGGAGACTGGCAGCGATGGTCGATGCTACCAGGGGATCAAAGGCTCCAAAGGTTTCTTGAAGGGTTCCTCTACAGGTTCCTCGACCAAGTCGCTCCCCGGCATCAGCCGGCAAGGGAGCGCCATTCGCAGTCGCCGTGCTTGTCGCCTCGACGCCTGCCAGCAGGGGGTCCGGAGCTCTGTAGCTGTCGCTGCGTGAAAGGCCGCTGCGAGATGCCACGAAGAGAAAGCGAAACAGCGAGAGCTTGCTGCAGGACTGACGCCGTCTCGACCTCCCACGTCTGTCATCAGTGACTTAATGCAGACTGCAAGTCGGAAACCATCTCGTGTGATGTCTGCTGCTTACGCCCTTGGAAGAGTACGACTACGCCTCCCTATGACCTTAACCCTTTTTGGGGCACCCGAACCCCTCTAGGAGAAGGCCGTATACAGCCCCTGGAGGAACCCCTTCGGAGAACCCTGTTAGGAACCTCTTGGGAGCCCTACACCGCCCCCTAAAGAGCCTTAACTTACCTTTGGTTAGGAGGGAATGGAAGAATGGTAGTAATAGCAGTTGTAATTGTACCCCATTCCTCCATTCCCTACAAACCAAAGGTAAGTTAGAGCGAAGTGGAAGCTTTGCCTTCGCCAGGCCCTTCGGAGCTCCCTGCAGCCTCCGTCTGGGGCAGCGCCGTCTGCCCTGGTTGGGCTGACGGGATGGGTTTAAGGCTTAGGCTTCGGGGTTCAGGGTTCAGGGTTTAGGGTTCGGGGTTTAGGATTTAGGTACTTGGTAGAATCATGGCGATTCTGAAACTTGTGACTGCGAGTGGTTCTCTGTTGTTCATATTGGACCATTACACGGGAGTTTCCGAAAACAGGGGGACCCTAATATTAGGGATCCTCCTCATACAGGACCCCAAAACAAGGTACCCCCAATTTTCGGAGACTCTAAACCCTTATAGAGCCCTTTAAAGGAAGCCTTATAGTAACCCTTATAGTAACCCTTATAGTACCCTTTTAAAGGACCAAAATCGAGAGCACCGAAAGCCACAGGCGGCGTTCCCAAAAACGCGCGTATTGCCAGCATTCCCAGAAACTCAGAGATCCCTTAATTAAGGAATCTTCCTTAAATCATATTAGGGATCCTAGTATCATGTAAGGTATATCCCTTAATTAAGGAATATTCCTTAACTCATATTAGGGATCCTATGATCACATATATGTAGTTGTCGTGCAGGGACCCTTGGAACGTCACCTGCACGGGATCCTATTATCATTCAAGGAATGTTCCTGAATTAAGGGAAAATGGAGTCTCGGGGCTCTCTGCATGAGAGTGGGAGCTCTCAGCTGGCCTCCTTCGCGCGATTTTACTCCTCGAGCCCTAAGTCTCAACCTTAAGACCTAAGCACTCCGCAGCCCTACGCGACCCTTCTTGCAACAGAATTTGCTTGCGAGGACGCCTGGCAGGTACGGTTAATGGTATATAGAAATCCTGCATGACCTTAAGGCTTTAAGGACCCTAAACTATGGGAATAATGGTATATTCCTTATTATGGGTAATGCAGGATTTATGCCATCAACAACTACACGACCCTAAACCCTGAAGCTCAAACCCCAAAGCTCTACACAACCCCGAACGTCGGCGCCTGCGGCTTCCGTCGGCCGGTCAGTACACTGCTGCTCCGAGCCATTTCGGCCTGGAATTCGAGGGCTTGGGGGCTTTTGGGTGAATGTTTGCTGCTGTGGGGGATTGGGTTTTGGGGATGTATGGGGTTAGGGTCTAGAATGTAGGGTTTCGACCCTGAGGCTTTGAAACGCTACTACTGACCAAATAGACGCTGGAGGAGCTGCTGAGGTGGTAGGCTTGGGTTTTTGGCTGTTTATTATGCCCTCCGATTGTTTGTCGGGATGGTGCTTCAGAATGTCGGCCTGACTACACCTCGGGGTTTCCCGGCCTCTGGCGGTAATAAAATTTGTAGCTTGCTTGGGGTTAGAACTCGAGTTTCAGGTTGATGCCCACGATCGACCGAAGGGAACAACAAAATGACGTCTCAACAGCACGACCGGCGTTGCGAGAGTAGCTCAGCATCTAAACTTAACTAAACAGCAATCATTCAATTGAAGTTCTATTCCGTATTGCCAGAGCAAGCCAGCTGATGGCTTCAGTCTGAATCACACGCCTTGCGTAGGGCAAGGGTTTTGGGGTACATGACTCATTACAGTCAGGAAACATTCCGCACCTTTCGAATTCTCAGATCTGCTCTGGTTTGAAAACTGATCTGGGGCAGAGAGGCATAGGTACGGAGGCCTCTTTTCGCTGTTGAACTATCAACCGCAAAGTCGGGATCGGAGCTGGTAATGCCCGGATCTGCCTCCAACCCTCAAGGAACGCTTAAGAACCCTTTGAGGGTACAGGGAGCCCCCATAGGAACCCTAAACCTCTCTCTCTCACAGGGTTCCTAAACCTTTTGCATCCAGGCCTATTGCGACTGCGGGGTAGCCTGAAGAAAGAGGAAACACGCAAGAAGGGTTCGTCCTAAACCTAAACCCTAAAACCTCATAGGAACCCTCCAAGGAACTCTTAATGGAACCCCTTGCGAGGGACTGTGACTGGGCACCTCTTGCAGCTGCCATGTCTTGGCCCAGCCGGGCGCGGCTGTCGCGGCTGTCAAAGCTGTCATCGCCTTGAGAAGGTCATGTTTTTCAATAGATCGTACTATTCTCGCATTATGTTATAATATATTCGTTACAATATGTGGCACGTTATATTTGCTCTTATTTGGGTGGTATAATATAATAGTCTCTCGTATTATGTTAAACTAAAGACTCTCGCAAGTGAAAATTGGTTCCGGGCTTTTCAAGAGCTCACGTTTCGGGTTCGGGGTTCAAGTTTCAAGCTTTCGATGGACTTCCAGCCATGGTATGCCGGACAATTTGTAGCCCTCCTTTAAAGGGAACTCCAGAAAGTTGGAATATGGATTAATGGTAGGATCCCCTATAATTTACCTTAAAGGGGTTAGGATAATGATATTCCAACTTTTTGGCTTCTACTGTAATAGGTATTCTTGTTTTTCTTCTCCACACTCTCACGGTCTTGCACTTCCTCGTTCTGCGTCGCCTGCCTCTTTCGTCCTGCTGCCGCTGGCCTTCAGCCCGAAGGGCTCACTACTTTGCACATGCTTCGGCTGATGGACAAAATCCTGCATTACCCATTATAAGGAATGTACCATAATTCCCATAGTTTAGGGTCCTTAGGGTCATGCAGGATTTTGTCCATCAACAGTTTCTCCACTGCTTCACCCACAATAACTCGACACTTCACACCCCGCCACGCTTCCTTCCAGCTTCTCATGCTGCAGTGGAGCAGCCCTTGCATGCATGACCTATGACCCGATCTTGCCATCTTCAATTCCCCAAATGCAGGAAATCCTTCTCAGACACGGTACGGCGGCGATTGCTTCGCCGAGGGCTGCGAGGGCGGCTGTCGCCTCCAGAAACTGCAAAAGCTACAGCTACAGCTGCTACCCTCTGCCAGACATGGAGGAGACCGGAACCTCCCGGGTCCCTCAAACACTAAACTCTAAGCCCTATCTCTGGGACAACAGCGAGTTGAACCTCGGCTGTCGCGGCTGTCTTTGCGGCGCTTGGGCGAGGAAAGCACCATCCTTGACGGCCGAGTTCCGTAACCAGGCGAGGCTCTTGGTGTTTCGTCGGTTGAAAGTGATACTTGTCCAAGGGTGGTCGAATCGCAGTGTCACACCTACTACTACGACGACGACCGCTACCACCCCCAATCCCCACCACCACCACTACTAATCACTAACCACTACTTATCCTTCTCCGATACACGAATTTCCTTTGCACATCACTTCTACCCCAAACCCCTAAACCCTAAACCATCCTCAACCCACTTAAACCCACACAACCCTAAACCCAGGAAGCCAAAAAAATGCCTCGCCCTGGGCCTGGCCTCGGACCTCGAGCTCGGCTGCGACTGCGAGGGCTCTCCGGCAAAGGCGAGCCCTGGAAAAAGCGCTCTTTGGGGTGCCTTAGGGCTTAGGGCTCCTTAAAGGGATCTATAGGAGTTCCTTAAAGGGATCTATAGGGGTTCCTCAGAGGGATCTATAGGGTTTGGGGTTTAGGGTCTACTTGGAGGATCATGGGACTTCGTGAGTCAGGTTATAAGTACCTTAACTGGGGTTATAAGTAGTTATAAGTATAGTTACCCTAATTATAACCCCAGTTACTAAGTCCCATGATCCTTAAGTAGGGCTTGCAGGGTTTATGCTGTCAGGGTTCACTGTTCTGAGTTTAAGGTTCAAGGTGTAGGGCAGAGGGTGGAATGCTGGGGATACGTTGCTTCTGGGCTTGGGCAAACACACAATGTCATGCAAGGTTGAGCTGTCTTTCGGCTTGAGGGTTGAGGGTTCTGGATGCGCCCGAGGTTGCAGGACGGGCAACCACAAACGCCCCATGCTTGAACTGCTTATGGCATCTTTTTACCAAAACCTGTAGCCAGTGATCACTGTTCTCTTACCGGCCACCTGCTTGGGTAGCAGAGGAATTCCTGCCTCACAGCCCCGACAGCTTGCTGGGATCACCCGTAAGCCACCTTGCACAACCTAGGACCTATGAACGAATACCCCAGCCCCACTTGCCTCTCGTGGTGATAATGGGGGCTCTTCCCATCCTGCATGAGCAGGTTGCTACAGCAGCAAGGCTCCGCTGATCACTGAAGCAGCCACCCTCAAGCCCTGCCGGCTTGTTCATGCTGGCCCAAACTACGATCCATGCGATCCCGAACTCCAAACATCACAAGGACCCCTACGTCGCACCCTCGCAGTCGGCTGGTCGCAGGTGCACGCTGCGCACGCTGCGCGGTGGACTCTGGGCCAAGGGCAAGGATTACGGTAGCAAGGGTTTCGGGGATGTGGGCCCAAAGCAATGCATCGATCCATCCATCCATCCATCGATCAATCGATCCATCCATCCATCCATCAATCCATCCATGCATCACCCATGCATCACCCACGTTCAAAACCCTTCTACAAAGCATTCTATATACCCGCATGAACCCTTTCACAGACCTTGCACGAGCCCTCCGGAAAAGCCTCCTTCAACGCACACGCCAGAAACACCGAGCGTGCTGTCAGTTCCGAACGCGCGCCATGCGCGAAGCACAATTCCTGCTCCATGTACCGGAGGCAATAGTTGGGATGCAGGAGCAAGGCTCGCTAATGCTTCCGCCAACCATCTACATCTGCAGGCGGGAACCCGGGAGTCACAGACATGACCCGATGCGAGTATTTCTCCCAAGCGCTGGCATTTTGAAGCTAAACTCGAAGTGGCACCACGCACGCAGCGCCACGACTCGCGTCCGCCGAGAAGGCTGTTAGCTCGAGGGACCCCAAAATAAGGTACCCTCTCGAAGCTCTCACAACCTCACGACAAGCTTAAAAGACAAGCTTGCGAAACAAACGCACATCAACATCCTCACATCATGCCATCACCTCCACGGAAAGCTCTTCGCTAAACCTTCGGGATAAAGATGTAAGAAGCCTAGCGCTTCAGCGTCAAAGGTCACTGCGAAGGATCTTGGGCGAGTTCCGTGTGCCAGGGTGCCTTTGGGAAACACGGCCCCTCCAAGCAGCAGGCATGAAAGCTACACCCTTGGCATGCCCCGGCCCTACACCCCATTATACATACCTACATACATTCACTCATCTATGTCTACAAGTTTGTACATGTACTGATATATTCATATTTACACACGTATACATATGTATGTATATATATATATATATATATATATACATACATACATATATATATATATACACATACATACATACATACATACATACATACATACATACATGTATATATATATATATATATACAGATAGCTATACAGTCAGGTTCTCCGAGCCCTGCCCCCGAACTCTCCAAACTCCTCCAGCCGAAGGGCCGATGGCGCGCTGTTTGGGGCCCATCCCCGGCCTTGGCCCTCCCAGCCACGCCACCTCGGAGCTTCGAAGCGAGATACCCTTAGAGGTCCCTTTAAAGGCTACCTTACCTACCCCTTTGGGGTTTGGGGTTTAGGGTTTAGGGTTTAGAAGTCCCTTTAAAGGCTACGGCTATTATAAACCCTTCCTGCAACAGGCCTAAACTAAATCCTACACTTCCTGAACCCTTAGAGGTGAAGGCTACCTTATTATAAACCCTAAACCCCTCTTTTGCATCCAGGCCTATTGCCGGGTACCCTGAAGAAAGGAAACTAACCCTAAACCCCTAAACCCCTACACCGTACCCTTATGGATCCCTTTAAGGAGTCTTGAGCCGATCTAAGTAGGAGCGCTTCGGCGCTCACACACAATCCAGGCGAGGCATATGGTTCGAGGTCTGCTGAGTGAGACTACCACGTATGCCGGTGGTTGTCAAAAATTATAAGGGTCCCTAATGTAGTACGGCAACTAATATTTAGGGTGCCCAAAAAGGGAGCATAATTTTGACAACCACCCATATGCTTCGCGGTCTGTTGAGTGAGACTATACCACTTATCTGAAAAAACCATGCCACAACATCAAGTTTAGAGCAAGTTTGCCGTTCACTCTCCTCCTGAGATCTTGAGAGGTTTCGGGTTGTTTGGGTTTGGGGTTTCGGAGCTAATCTTTGGGGTTTTGGAGATCCTGCAAAGCCGCCGAAAAAAGCTGCTTCTTCCCTCTCAGCTGCGAACCAGGAGCTGCCGAAGACACTCAAATCTAGCTTAGACTGAGCAACGCCTGAAACCAGCACAGCTGCTGATGGCTGCAGCCGAGGTGCTGATCGTCCCGATCTTGCCAGTAGCCCTCTGGGGCGTCAGGCTTACTTGGAGGATCATGGGGCTTAGTAAGTAAGGTTATAACTACCTTAATTGGGGTTATAAGTAGTCATAGGTACAGCTGCCTTATTTGCAACCCCACTCACTAAGTCCCATGATCCTTCAAGTAGAGGGGATCTAGGTTTCTTTAACGCTTGGGTGTTTAGGTCTGGTGCATGGGCGAAAGATAATCATGGGTTGGTCAGTGCAGGCGCCCGAATAATCGGCATTTGAAGCATTCCGACAGAGCCATGTGGGAGTAGAAGGAGATCAAGAAATCTATCAAAAAAATGTTTCCACAATATGCGCAGCATTGTGCAGCCTTAGGGAGAAAATGCTTGTTCCCCAATATGTTTCAAAGAGATCAGGGTCATACCTGGAACATGTTGAGTATGGAACTCGCAAGCCCTTGGCGCATGAGGCAGATGCCCAAAAAAACAACCTCAAACATCCCTTGAACACATGCATTAACACCGGATGCGGAAGAAAAAGAGCAAACGATCGAGGACTTTGCCGGGGGCCTCCCATCCGCCAGCCCCCTGCGAATCCCAGGAGGTCCATGGCATGGCAGGAGGAAAAGAGCGTCTGGCTTAGGCTGATGTGGGTTTTGGGTAGCTTGGCTGGTGGGGGTCTGGAGCCGTTTACCGAGCGGCAGCAGGGCCGCAGTTCTTCCTGGTGCCCTTCGATTGCCAGCCAAGGCTTTAAGTCTTAGGCTGGTGGCTGAAGCGGTCTCGCCAACATGCGGCAATACCTGACTGAGTTCCATGCTTGCTTGAAACGGAGCAACAGCAGTCGCACTTGCCTGCCCTTCTGCATGCTGCAAACCTGCCAACCTGCTGAATAAGCACACATCCACGCAAGAGGCCTTCCTCATGGTTCCCGCCCACTAACAAATACCGCACAACTGTCCCTGTCTGCGAAGCTTCGACAGGCACAAGACGACACGAAACTTTGCCTCGAAGACCCCGCCGGAGATCTCGAGCACCGAAATGTCGAAGGTGCCACCACCCAAGTCGTAGACGGCCAAGACTTGCCCGTCCTCTTGCAAAGCTTCCGACACACTCTCTTCACCTGCTACATAAGGTTTGGGCAAAGGACACGCGAGGTCTCTCGGTTCGTGTTGGACTACAAGTTCAGCTTGAGTTGTGGTGCAGAAGACAGCTGAACACTACACCCAACTCGAGCATCAAAAAGGGGGCAGGCTTTGACTCAAGACTAATGTCGGTTCGTATTGTAGTCAAGCTTAGGGTTCAGGGTGTTTTAACTAAAACTCGGGACTGGAGGCTCATGCCAACGGCTGCAACTGCAACGGGAGCTGGAGCACACCTGCTATCACTAGTGAGCTTCCACAACGCGGCAGAACAGCATGAATCGGTTCGACATCAGCCACAGCATGTAATTAAATCGCCAGCAACCTGACTTCCAAATGCAATCGCCACTGTCGCCCCACTACTGGTGCTGTTCTGCCTGCTGCTAGCTTCCACGACTGTCACTGCTGCCCGGCAATGGTTCTTGCTGCACGTAGGACGTTCAGCTAGGCGTGGGCATGCATCTTTCATAGCTTCCAAAGAATGCCATCAAAAGCAGAGGCGGATGTAAAGACTTGCTTCTGCCCTGACACAGGGCGCCATCCTGCAATTGTTGCTTGAGTCGACTTGACTTAGGCCTTAGGCACTTTGACATGCCTTCAAGTCCTACCAATCCACACCATATCGCAACAGGTGCAATCTAAGCAACAATGATGCACCTGAAACAGTTCCATGCCCTGCGAAACCCTCAATCTCTAGACTGCACCAACAGCTACA